CAAAAAAGGCAGGGCAGCTTACAGCCAACAGAGTTCATTAGTTAGCACTTACCACCAGGCGTAAGAACTAATAACTGGGCTCATAAGGATTGGCGAACTTCTTTCGGTTAAAAAAACGTAAACGGCCTGCCTATTGCACATTTTGCGATACTTGCGACAATTTTGACACTTTTGCCAGCGGCAACGTGCTTCGCAGGCGGCATCAGTGATTCGCGTCGGTGTCAATGGCTGTTTATGGAGCCGACCTTGTGACCGACATGCTAGCCCCACTCACATGTATGTCTGTTCATAGATAGACGCATTGTATTCTGATGATCGGTACATGTTGTCTTCAAATTTGCACAACTGTCACTAAATTTCCCATCATGCACAATAAGGATCAGTGGTGTCACTTCCCAATCGTTTGGTGGTTGGTGGGAGGGGTCGGGGAGGGGGGAGGGGAAGGGCGGGACGTTTAGGCCGATGAGGTTCACCGAACGTCTCCTCGGATCTCAATCTGTGGCCCTGTGTCAAGAATGAAAAATTCGGAAGATTATCTTTATTTGCTCAGGAATGGCTTCCGATTTCAAGCCCATGTGCAGCTGTAATGTTATCAGAAGCTTGGAATTAGGTGTAAGTTAGAACATTCATCTTCTATTAACTTATTTTGGCGCCCGCCGGAGCTTTTCTTGTTTACAGAAAACATAGCTGCGGGAAATGCATTATGGGCACTGTCAGGCAGTGTTAGGCACCTAAAAGCAAAACCAAAGTTGCAGGACCTCAGCGGACATGTCCATAACTGGAAGGGCACATTGAGAATGGTATGTTAACCGGACGGGTGACCAGAGGGGCCTTCCAAAAAAGGAGAAAAAAGTATAGATATTAATGATCAACTTACTTTTCGGAAACAACTTGATGTTTGCTGGTCGTGTTACTAGGAGTACTGCCCCCTCATTGTTCATCAATGTTGTCATGCTCATCCGACGGATTTCTCAACAACGCCAAACGGTGATCACGAGATTCACAAAGCCCAGCTTGCGTAAAAGCAACAGGTGCCGTGACTGACTCAATTTAGACGAAGTCCTTGTGCGGCTTTTGAAGTTTCGTACTCGCACATGATGTGAAATGCATAATGTTATGAATATCTTTCTAGAGATAGTGGCAGTACTCAAGAATAGACAGCCTTACCGAAGAAAAGCTTCTCGGTTGTAATGGTTTACGGGCAATAATCATATTTGGCTAGATTAAATATACATGTCATTGTTATTGGCGGCTGTTGGCTAGATGGCCTTCTGCATTGATCTACAAGTGACTAGTGTGGAGACAATTCCCTGTAATGAACCAATTAACTGGGGCGACTGCAAAAAGTGGCCAAAACGTCGGTTCACCGACATTACAAGGGCTTTTACGAAATAGATGCTTTCGTTCTAGCATGGTCAGCAAACGTCACTTTACTAGGATCCCGCAACTAGCACTCACACATTTACACTACTACATCCATGCGTGTCACCGGTCATAACAAAGAGGGGCCTTAAGTGTGCTCGCTGCGCACAGTCTGTGCGGGTTATGTGCAACGATCAGACCCCTCAATTATGAGAAGAAACCACACAGCCATACACTATGCATATCTCGTGATTTGTCCCCAGTAAATAGTAGCCATCTGGTGCAAGGTTCACCGCGGCATCACCACGTAGCCTCCACCTCCTCTCCTCACAGAATAATGCGGAATCTTTCGTCGGCACGCCGGCATCCCCCCAAGGGGGAGATGACAATGAAACCAGTCCACCCTCCTCCCCATTGCCTACGTTTGCTACGTCACCTCATGTCTCACTTGCATTGCTTTCTCATGGCCTACATCATTGGCTATCATATAAATTTCCAGCAACCAAGATTCATTAGCAAAAGGTGAGGAGTGGGGTGCAAGCATGAGGTTGAACTGTGAATAACTGTTTCAATGCGATGAGAACATTACTGAAATAGTTGCATTTCGAGCAAGGGCGTACTTTTTGGAGATAGATTTGGGAGCAGTGAAAATGTATGCAATGTATCCTCAAAGTATGGATGTCTCCCAGGTTAGTACACTTCTTCACAAACTTAGGGGAGAGGGATGGAGCCCTGAACGAGATAAAAAGTAGGAACACACGGGTGTCGGTTTATATTCTCTCATGAGGGTCCTGCCCCCCCTCCCCTCCCCATATTGAGTTGGGCCCCCCAATGTTGGCTTGGCCCCCAATGTTTGTGGCTGAAATACTACGAAAACGTGAGTAAAACATAATCAAAACAAAAAGAATATCTTATTTGATCTGTCTGCGTAGTGGCGTCTCGTGCCACTCTCATAACAAAAAGTCATGGCTGCTCTCGCTACAAGAAACAAATCGTAAGAGCTGAGCGGACAAACGATGCAATAAACTGCACATGCCTAGCGCCTTAAGACGCGCAATGGCTTATGAGGTTAAAGTGAAAAACTCTGGAATATGGGGATGACCTAAGTCCTTCATGGCTAACCCCGTCCCCGTCCCCCACAACTAAAATGCGTGCCGCCTCCCATGATCGCCACAGAAGAGCGCCATCGGCACCTAAGGTGGCGTCTAAAGGGGCGCCTTCGCGTGCCGATCAGAAGAGACGCGTGCATCTAGTGTCTGCTCCCTGGGTCCAACCCTGCGTGACTCCTTTGCTGCTTAAATTTAAGACTTATAAATTATATGAAGAGTAAGTTATACAAGTAATTTATTGCATTTGATCAAAATGAAGTGGGCCAAATCTAGTCAGAAAAAATGAGGTATGTTGTTGGGCCTTCACTTCGGTCCCCCACCTAATAATTTACAAAAATTGACACTCCTGTACGAACACCCTTGATTCGAAGATCTTTGTGACTGGTAACCATTCTCAATCAGTATAAGAACTAAAATGGCATGAATTGGCATTTCGGAATTATTATCACCCCCTGTTATTCCCCCCCCCCCCCCCATAAGGATTGCCAGACTACAGCATTGAACAACCGGTTGTTTTCAAAGGGAAGGATGGTCGCTTGCGACTGCTTCAGTGAGTCAACAGCCTTTTCATAGTCTTGAAAAGGCAATTTGGATAACCACAGGTCAATTTCTACCTTGATGTGATCATCCCACCGACTTACCCCGAGCTGTCAACGCCTCTCGTCGCTGAGGACAGGACGCTGAACCGCGGCACCGCCAACGAAGTAAGCACGGTCAGAATTAAGCCCTAGGCAGGTATTCATGATACTGCAATGCGAATGTCACTTACAGAATTGCAGTGTATTGAGAATCACCGCCCACCTCATATCAGTGGCATCACAACGATTGAAACATGCCCTTGCGGCCAGATGAATCCCCATATCTCGATCCTTTTCAGCATTGTACACCGTAGTTCAGGACGTTGACGGTCGGCTGTTAAATCCAGCGAATCGTCCGGCCGGCCGGGCCATAGCAAATACACTGATTTGCCGCCGACCTGTCACCGAGTTGGCCGACCAACAAAAAATCACAGGATATTTTTGCCGCCGGGCTGGAATTAAACCTAGAAAAGATGCCATGGTTCCGTAGAGTACGGTAAAAAGTTTTCGCGGAAACGTTTGTTGGCGTTATGTGACGAAATGTGTCAACATAGAGGCATAAAATCTGTATGGAGACCTCACCTTATGTTTTGCATATTGTGCTGTATTTTTTGTAGTCTAAGTTGTCACCAAAATGTGCTGTCCGAAAGCTTTTGTGGCGCCAAGCTCTGCATGAATATATGAATTTTTGTCGCCGACCTTGTCCACCAAGTCGGCAGGTTTTACCACCCCTGAGTGCGATGCTAATGGGCGCGGCACAACTGTCTGCTGTCGATGGCTCCGAAAACACCTAATCGTCATCATCATCACACGAAGCATTTCGCACAACTAAACAATTGATGAAAGAACGCCTTCTTGAAAAAGATGTTCTTGGAGGTGATAGCTCATCTTACGATGCTTAGTGTACCGCTGCGACTGTCGTTCATTTTATCAGCGTATTTAGGCCCGATGTTTATTCCATAGCGTATATCTTAAAAATGAGGAATGCGTGAAATTTCTTCATTTAAGCAGTTGCGTTTATCTGTGTGTCGTTTTCGGGAAGATGAGGACCACATGAGATTTCATCGTTGAAGAAGTTTAGAATATATCTGTGTATATCTGTGTACATCCGCGTATATCTGTGTGTCGTTTTCCGAGCAAATGTTATCTATTTTGGCAGCGAAGGTATATATATATATATATATATATATATATATATATATATATTGCGTTGGGATCCGCGAAGTATGTATGGAACAGTCCAGATTCGTGAACCGCTGAAAATTAACATATTAACAAGTACATGACCTATTTCATGGATTTGTGTGCTCATCTCTACTGTCAACTTTTGTTCACCTTGTGTGACGTTCACCTCGGCCCAGCCAATCATCCGACTTTACCTGACAGTCGTGACACATCGCAGCCGTGGGTTCGCCACAGATGATCCAGATAGCCATCTCTCCCGACGTACCGATCCACTGTATGTAAAAAGTATCACTTCGTTCACAGCTAAGACACGCGCGTCCAATATGCACCCGCACTGTATCCTGGCGGATTTGGCCATTCATGAAAGCACAAACTGCACACCGAAACGGTCTCGCACAACGCAATTTACTCCATAGGTGGCAGGTCCGTGATAACAGCAATATTAGCCCGAATCAGATGCTGGCCAGCTTTCACAGTCGTGCAGAGGCAGGAATCGACCGGTGGTGGCCAGCAGACCACCGCAGCGCAGCGATGGCAGCTAATCGCCAAGTCAGGATGGGACGCGGACCCAGCAGCCGGCCGCATCGACAGCGTAACGTCTGGGCACGAGGCCGCCCGCGGCGCGGCGCACCGGCGCCATGACTGGGCGCACTTCCCCAGTCCCGGTGACACACCGAGCCCGGGCCGGCCCGCGCGCCCGGCGCCGGCAGCACCAGCAACGGCCTCGGTCAGCGCGCCACGCCGGCGGGCCGGCGGCGGCGGCCGCTCAGTGGAAGATGGGCCTCTTTGGCGGCCGGAACGGCACGCCCCGCGCACTGTGGACCATGACCGCATCCTGCCGCGTCGTCAGGTTCAGGCTCTCCGTGAAGTTGTGCAGCTTCTTCACGTGCAGGCGAAGGCGGAACTGGTTCTTGATAGGTCCTGTCGAAACGAGTTCAGTGCGTACATTTACTGGTAGCTATAGGTTGCAGGCTATTAGCAGTTTGGTCGTACATGCGCCTTCATTCGGCGTGAAAAGAACCTTGTGGTGGTCTTACAGCACTGAGGATCAATCCGCGTTCGGGTGGAAAGGTCCCCTCGACCCTCTCCCCCAAGACTGTTCTATAAATAAATTTGGAACGGTTTGAATCAGTCGCGCCCCGCTTGTCTAGCTGCAGGCAATCTTCACCGTAAGGTTTTGGTGTCCATGGTGTCGTTTGGTCTAAGTGAGCCATGACCCTATTCCCTTCCTTGGATACGCCACTGGTTGTAACCGCAAACACATCAAAAACCTATCCGTGACGGTCTCCAAAATAGCAACATTAGGCGTTGCTCACTGAATAGGTGACCCCGGCGCAACGCAGGTGAGGGCGCTATGACTTGCGGCCAAGCGGGCGGCGGCATACCTGCGGCTAAGTGGGACTTCCAGTCGGTAGTGATGGTGCCGTTCTTCTTGTGCCAACGGTTCACAGTCTTGGCCACCTCTGCATCCGAGCTATTGACGTGCGTGCCTGACGGATAAGGAACTGGTAACTCTGGGACATGGGCGAACACGTGGACATCAGGCGGGCTCGAAACAACTCCTTGAATGTGGTAAGGTTTGTCTGTATCTTTTCGGCATTGATAGATCGCGAAAACAAGAAATCGGCACATTGCAGACAGAAAAGCGTCTGAAATATAGCGACATAGTGTTTCAGAACGGACCTGCCAAAGAGCTGGAATTTATTCTAGCCAGGAGAGTTTCACTGCTCTTGAAGTCAACAAAACGGTGTCCGGTATTGTCCTTTTTCTGAAGGAATTCGGTGATGCCGCTCCCTGTAAATAATGGTGCTGGTAAAGAAACATGCCTCATGAATGCTATCAAGTTCAACATCATCACCTTAAGAGATGCATATCATGCATGCATGCATGGATGATGATGAATGCATCTATGATGCATACATCATATCTATCCTGAGTGCGCAGGAAAGTTGATTTAAAACACGAGGCATGAATAGATGAAATCACGAGTTCTATACATGTATTCATACATCAATGTTAACGCGCAAATGCTCCCGTCATCCTCATCTAAAGCACACCAAATATTTAAAAAGCCACCACTTTTGCGACGATTCCCTATCTCTGAGAAATAAAGATGTTGATGCAGTCGTATTCAGCTGTTTTCAGTCAGTGCTAACACCGCAAAGTAGATAAAGAAAAATAAACTTGCAATGGAAACTCATCAGAGGCATGGCATTGCACCATACCAGAAGCATACATATACGAACCATCACAGGTCGACCTCTACTGACCTTTCAGCTTTCTGCCGCAGAACTTGACCAGCTCGTGCGTGTGGTTAAGGCTGTTGTAAATCGCTCGTACGCCTGGCTTGTGGCATTTACCATCTGTTGTGATGTAGCCCGTTTTGTTACCGAACTGACCGTATTTGTTGGTGCAGAAACAGGCGCCGCTGAGAAGAGCAAACCGTTTGGTAAACCCAGGTATACTGTTTGCCCAGGTATAACCTTTTGCAATCGTAAAATGTTGCCAGTGGTACAGAAACCGCAACAGCGAAATTTGCTGTGTGGCATAAAAAATACGCTATTGAAGAGTTTTGCATTAACGCCCATTTAACTAGCTGATCGATCGCTTTGTTGTCGATTGATCGATCGATCAACTGACAATAATCAATCAGCCATCAATCGTCACTCGATTAATCGCTTTATTTGTATTCAACGGCAATTCGGGCACCGGACAAATTTTCACACCTGCCGAGGCACACATTTACGGTAAACATGTAATTCCAAAACTGAGCAACATACGGTGCCGTGGAATAAGAGTCACCTCCATGTTCAAACAGGACATCAGTATTGGTCAAGTTGCACATTCTGATCCTAGTTAACCTTGTTCCTGTCCGGAGGGGAGAGGAGACAGGTTGGGACCTATTCTGAAATCTTATTTACAGCCTTCTTGTGTCAATTTGGCTAGATTCTTGAAAATTTGTAGTTGTTGACGCCTTTTGGTTGCGCGTCCGATGGCATAATTTTGTTGTTACACAGATATCGTAGGTGGCTACAGTACTGTTTTTAAGGGCAGGTTTTGTCATCTTCGATTCTACATTTTGACGTGCTTCAAATGCGCCCATTTTGCAAGGAAGCTGCTGTGCTTCAGCATTAAAGACAATCCAGTTCGTAACAATGAAGATTCGAGTGCCACGGCGTGTCCAGGGAAACATTTTGCGGGGTCTAGCTCTCATGCTTAAAGCCTGAAGGACCCCAAGGAACGTAAACATATGCATGGTTATGGTGTGTGTCATCAGTTAGAACATGTGCGTAGGGATTCAGAATATTGTCTTAATGATACTTTGGTGCATATTGTGAACAGAAGGAAACAAACAGCATACCCCTCAATGATGGCAAAGAAGAACTTGTTTTCCTTCACGCAGCTGCACAGGCAACTGAATGCTGAATCTGGCTTGGTCAGGGGCCCCATCCATTGGTCTTGTTGGCAGACCCGGAGTAGCAGGCACCGCCGATGTGAATCTGAACTGGAAAGGAAACAACCATCCGTGAACACTTCAGTTGGAAACACAGCGGCAGCTCATCACCACACCAGCTTTGTTCGGCGTTAAGGCTATGTATCGCGTTACGCGGCGAATATAAACCGGCTGGCAAATTTGCTAACTTGCTTTATATGCTGCATTGCAGTTCGTGCAAACGCCAGCGATAAATGTTTGAGAGGTGCCTGAGTGATGCATAATACATCAGTGGCCGTTTCTGTTAACATACAGCCAAATGCGAATCCTTTGCTCTTGGCGCCGACCATGTTCTGTTTCATGTTGGTTCGCTTTGTCAGCGCAGCCATTCCTGAGGAGTCGGCGTGGGTCTGGTTCACTGCAAAAAAATTTATTGCGTGACGGTTGGCTTGAAAGCAGCAAGGTAGTAGCAATAGCACAACATTTTTGGGGCATGACTCATTAGACATAACAACGCATGCCCGTGAGACAAATCCGACAGTAATGCTATAAGGCACATACAGAATTGGCAGACGTTTGATGTACATGCATGCACGTTTTAAAGTGAATGATTGAGCCTAAAGCTTTAAAATGACAAAGGCCCAAATCTGCCCTCTCCTGACGCCTTTTGAGGTGGTGGTTCGTTTCCGCGACAAACGGCTAGACGTGACCAATGTGTCAACACACACGTTCTTCTGAACGCATCGGCTGTTATCCATGACTGGGCTTCTCGAAGGCATTCCGATGGCGTAACGGTTTTGCAGAGGCTCAGCCCACCAATATAGCGGTTTTCGCTGGGCCTCAGCCTACCAGCATAGAGGTTTTTGCAGAGCCTCAGCCTACCAGCATAGCAGTTTTTGCAGAGGCTCTGTCTACCAATATAGCGGTTTTTGCAGAGGCTCAGCCTACCAGCAAGCGGTTTTTGCGGAGGCTCAGCCCACCAATATAGCGGTTTTTGCAGAGGCTCAGCCTACCAATAAAGCGGTTTTTGCAGAGTCTCAGCCTACCAATATAGCGGTTTTTGCAGGGCCTCAGCCTACCAGCATAGCGGTTTTTGCAGGGGCTCAGCCTACCAATATAGCGCTTTTTTGCAGAGGCTAAGCCTATCAGCATAGCGGTTTTTGCAGAGGCTCAGCCTACCAGCATAGCGGTTTTTGCGGAGGCTCAGCCTACCAATATAGCTGTTTTTGCAGAGGCTCAGCCTACCGGCATAGCGGTTTTTGCAGAGGCTCAGCCTACCAATATAGCGGTTTTTGCAGAGGCTTAGCCTACCATAGGGAAGCGAAAAGAACATGAGTGTCCCTAACGGAAGAGGGGAGACGATCGCCTCGGTATTAAGAAGAGAGAGATGGCCCCAGCGGTGTGATAGCTATCAGGGTTTGGTGCCAGATTAGCGCCACTCACCAGCGACATCTTTCTGAACGATGTCAGAGAAAGCGGTCGTCCCTCGGACTAGATGCTCATTCTTGTTGTGGATGAACTGCTCGGTGTTGTGAGCTCTCCGGATTCCTTTCACTGGAAGTAACATTCAACATGACATTCGGTTAGGTGTATCTCTGTAGCACAGTTGCGGACCTGCCATAGATTCGATCGCAGTATGTGTTGCTTGTGCCACTTGTAGATGAAAACGACATAAGTGGGCGGACGTTGTACATAGTACGGACCTGGCTAAAACCCGGATGAATTATCAGGGCTTCCAGAAAACGTATATCACGCTATTTCTTTTAGTCTGTAAAGAGAATGAGATTGATGACTTCGAAGTACACGAACGAAAACGCGCTGGTCGTTGGAAGGCGTGCACAATCTTTTTACCAAGAACATTGGTTACGTTGGCTGGAACCAACATGCCAAGTTCGCTCGATAAGTGGGCGCCAATAAAATGGAATCCTGTATTCTGGGGGCCTTGATAGAGACAGCAAAAAACCTGAATATTTCAGCAGGACCCCCATAGCGCTGCAATGTCTCGTTTGGTTTTGATAGCCATTATGAGAATCCAAGGAACCACTGATAATCTTGAAAAGTTGTTTTCGCATACATTTGGCGTGCAAGAGCTAAGTTTCATAACGCAGTAGCACCCCGTTATCAAAATTGTTTGAGAGAGCGCCGTACGTTACCTACAACTTTTGCTAACGCGAATTCCCCATAGCTCGAACAGCCATCATGACAAGCCATACGAGGTCAAAATACATTTTGATGATGCTGACGGAGAGGCAGGTCTTATTGCTTAACAAATGCCGGGGACGAGGCAGAGGCGGCGCCAGTGCCTTTTACGTTGACATTAGGGGAGACGAAAGCGACTCCACTCACACATGCGCCCGGCTACTAATAGAAAGACTGCTCTGAAGCATCACTCGTCACCGCCAGCGTCCTCGCTCTGGCGGGAACGCTGGTAACACCGGTGACACTGGTAACACCGGTAACACTGGTAACACTGGCAACACTGGTAACAGTTCATTCAACCAGCAGGTGAGCAGCGACATGCGGTCTACTTACGAAGTGGATGTGATAAGCAGCGACAAATGGAAACTTAAAGCTCGGCGACTCAATGCAATTGCAGATATTGGATCACGGCGGCTAAGTGGGGTCAGCTTATTTAACATTAGTTATCGGAGCGACGCCCACCCCTGTGTGGCGCTAGGCGAGTTGGGCAATAGTTGACGTGACACTTGTCCGCTGTCAGGACCCACAATCAATTTAGGAAGGTCACATCCCTGATAAATAGCCGCGTCAAATCACCGAAGACATTAGTGGCGCGATTTTGCTCGAATGAACCGCTTCAAGTCTTACCGAAATGCCTCCGGTAGCCTTTCTTCGCGACCTTGTCCACCGTTTCTGACTCCATGTCCACTCGTTTATCCGTTTGTGAGGCCACGATGATGGCGTTCGCTTGAGCTGCGGAGGGGTGTGCAGTGAGGGTTATGCCGCGGCATTCCAACACGGCCGCGAAGCGCTTCTACGTGGCCGAGAACGATGTAACCCGGACCAACGCTACTGGGGCCTCAGTTGGGGCAGATGGGTCATAGTTTAATTGTCTGGGCCGTCCGTAGCTGATCTCATCAGTTTGGTTTCTTGTGCTTGTGTGTTGAAAACATAATGAAGTGAGAGCACGCTGCAAAGGGAAAATTCTATATTCGAATATAATGAAGCAAGGGCCATATCTGATGAAATAAGATCACTAATAACCACATATGCGTATATATATATATATATATATATATATATATATATATATATATATATATATAAGTTTAAGCCGAAAAGACCGCTGTAGACAAAACAATTTCTCTGTTTAGTAAATATGCTCCACAACACATCATTGTTTCATTACGTCATTGTAACTCGTGCAACACGGATTGGGTGCCAATTGGCGACCATCATTTCTGGGAGTCGCGCTCACGAACGCTAGGCATGAACGATTCAGCAATTGTTTTTTATTGGCCTTGACCGCCACGTGGCTAATGGAATGACAAGATTTAAGACAGGAGTCAAGATGGAGGTTGTTATTGCTCTTTATTCAATTGTCATGGCTGCTATGTTACATATGCACCTAAAGCACCTCATTGGTGCACAATCCTGCCTCCTTGACTCATCTATGTCATTCAGCAAATAAGGCTATCCAGTTTCCCATGATCTTCGTCGATTTGAACATTGCCTTTCCTGGAAAGGCAAAATCCACCAGCGGGTAGGCAATTTGGGTCATTGAGGAGGATTCTGCCAGCAAAGAGTAAATAACAAAATACGACCTGGACATGGACCGGTGATAATTTTGAAAGTAAATCGATGGCTCACAGTGCGACAGATTTTTCATGAGCTTTCATTTCGCTGGCTGCTTTTCAAGAGATAAGAACTGTCGCAGCATTTTAGGCAGAAACAAATGCCGGAGCTCAAAACTGCCCCCCTAAAAAGTGACAAAAGCTATAAAACTGGAGATTCTCCTTCAAAAACCAAGCCACAGAATGAAAGCCCTTCTGTCATATATTCCTTATCTGGGTCCTGTTCCCGTCCGCCGCCGACGGCCGCTGCCATAGCCCGGATGTCTTCCGCGTGACTGACTGCGAATTGATCGCATGGCTGTTTTTTTGCATATTTCTGGAGCAGCGTCACTACTAATTGGTGTGTAAAACATATGTTGGACGACGCCTGGAACAGTATCCCGATTATCTTCCCTCACACCACAACACCGCAGAAAAAACTCCGGGAAGCTACCTGCCTCAGGTATGTCTTAGTCCAACGGGCAACCAGTTGCCTATCATTCAACGTAGTCGACTTGATCTGCTTTTTTGTGTAGGCAGGGGCGTAGCCAGAGCCTTGCCAAGGAGGAGCAACGGGTTGACGAAAGCCCCTCTTATGGTGACTCTTCCTCCCAAGAAAAAAATCACCGGATACAGGTTACATGTAGACAAGGGACAGATTTTCTTAGGTTATTGTTATTTCTTCTTTGTATCCGGAACAGAAACCAGAAGCTACCTTGATATAAATTTTATTTGTGTTTTGAGGTTAAATGAATGAAATCATGGAATAAATCACCAGCGCCTCAATTCATAACGGTTTAGTTAACTCTTTCTAAGCCGATGAAATTGGGAAGCTGTGACAATTTTTTCTGAGTTTTACAGACATTAAAGGCATCACAAAGGTAGACTGTAGATCGATATGTTTGACCGAAATTTGACGATGAAAATTTGATTGTAGATCGACTGGTCAACAATGCGCATTAAGATGGTCAAGCCTTGTTTGTCTGGGAATGCTCAACAGTCAGTCAGAATCGATTAGTGGTACAATTTATGTCACGTGGTTTTTTTAACACGCGCTCTCGCAAATCTCAGCAACAAAAACGTCCGCACCAGGCGTTGCAGTCTCCATAGTCCTCGGAATGTTAGCTCAGTGGCCGACTCGTAACTGTGGCCCATCGCTGGACGAAAATGACGACGCTCCTGAAAACGTTTACCTTCCACAATCAAATCGATTAGTGATACAAGTTATGTGACGAGGTTCTGAGTACGCGTACCCGCAAATCTTAGCAACAAAAGCCTCGACTCCAGGCGTTGCAGTCTCCCTAGGCCGCGCAGCGTGGACAGAGCAGCTAATACTGAGCTGTGACTAACGGGTGAAAAAAAATGATGATGCTTATGAAAGAACTATACTTCAACGGCTCAGGACATCAAATTTTACATTTAGAGGGCACTCTGGGCGCACATTTCACGAGTGCGATTTTTAGACTGATGATAAGAACGGATTGGCCCTTAAAGCACCGCTAAGTGGTGCTGGAATCTGGTGGTGGACTGGAAGAGTAAGTGTACTATCTCATTTTTCGTGTTCCTTTAACTACTCAGCTCTCCAGAAAACAGATTAACGCGGCGCCCGCCGTCTGGTGGCCTTCCGGTGGCCGATGTCGTTCGGTTTTACGCGGGCTGTAACCCAGGCAATCGCTGTCCTTAGTCTCGAGGTTGCGGACGGGCATTTTCAAACCTTTTGGTGTAATTCGTTTTGCCAGTCCATTCTGAAAAATGAACGTACTCAGGCAAACATGTGATGGTATTGTTGGTTTTTTATACTCATTTCGACCCTCTCTATTCAACGACCCCCATTCTATTTAACCTTGGACCCCTCGTTTCCCTCCGGACGAGAAGCCCTTGAGTAGAACACCAGCAACACATGACCATTTCCAGTCGAGGTCTGAAGGGTCATTCCGTCCCATCGCGAAGTGTCTTTTGGCTGCCATTCTGGCGACACAGGGTGGGATCTCCTGGTCGATCCGGAAGCCCTTAGAAGGATACACCAGATCACATTGTTCAGAGGGAGCAATATGATCTGATGCCCTGACACGGGAGGGCCTTCTGACGCACACAGCTGGCCCCAGATCGGCACAGGAATCCTCATTGACACAACAGCATGCTTGATCACCGCAGGTGGTAAAATAATTGTCACATAGGCTACAGTTCCCTGTTTCATGTGTTCTTCAGATATAATGAGGACTCTTTGATCGTAGATTGTAGATGGAATGGGGCCCCAAATTTGTATTAGCACGGCTAATCCATGTTCGTCTTGAAATTTTCAAGATTTGGTCAGAATTTATTAATGGTAAAAACTATATAATATGGTTTTGAAAATGCGCGCTCGCAAATCATAGCAACGACAGCCTCGACTCCCGGCGTTGCAGTCTCCATGGGACGCGCGGCGTCGGTTCTGCGGCTGTGACGTAAGCCATGGCCAATAAGCAAACGAAAAAGGTGACACATCTTGAGGAAGATGGCTGGTGAACTAGGTAAATCGGCATGTATGTTGAACGTAGTGCAAACGTAAGCTAAACACAACCTTAGTCTGAAAGTGTGGGGGATGGGGAGCGCAGTTGACACTGCTGCCCCCCACCTTGAAATGTGTGTGTGGGGGGGGGGGGGGGGCATGCGTTGGAGCATTGGAAATTAGCAGCATGGAGTATTCTTGCGACTAGTGATAAGCCCAATTACTTGGTGTTTCATGCTGTAAAGTATGTGAAGTGACTTTTGGCTAAAATGTGTGCCAATCACTGATCTGAGGGACATTGGAAAAGCACTCCGTCACCACTGATCTACGTCAGCACTGACTTGGCATAGTTTGTTGTATGCTTCTGTCACCCGCTAAAAACTATCCTGAATAAAGCTACTCCGGTTGGCAGCATCTTAGGCTCAACTTGCTCATACAGTGAAACGTCAACGTTTTGACATGTGCTCTTACACATTTCACGCTGCAAGCACAGGCTAATACTGAGCTCTGAGTTTCGTCTGACTTGGATGGTCTATTGTTATATGGTCTGATCTGTTGAAATTTGTTTTCATCTTCGCAAGTTTGTCAACAGCTGATTAGCAAAAGTGTCAGTGTTTGTCGCCGATCGTACCCGGTAAATCAAAAGCTTTTTTTCACCCCTGGCGACGGTATGCTACGTTTCAGTTCCGTCCCGCTCCCGCCGTGTCGCGATGGTACGCAATTAAAACTGGTCGCTGAGGGTCGGCCATAACTATTAGGATATTTGCCAGCGTGTGTTGTAAAATCAGCTGGGAGTATTGAGCAGGGCAGAAGTGACTAAACCTCTTCCCATGTTAAAACGAAGCTCAATTTATCTATGAATCTGCCCACTGCCCTTTGGTAACGCTACAGATCCAGGACTCATGCTTACGTGGGGCGGGCGGTTGGAATGTGAATTGTGATGAGTGTGATGTAGATTTTTTCCGGGCTGTACCACGATAATATGAGAATCCCGGAAGTGCATGTACCAACAAGGGCGTAAGGCGTAGCTTCAACAGACAGGAGCTGGTACGTCTGAGAGGCGGATATGTAAGAGCCTGGCTTTATGCAAACGTGGAGAAGCAAAACACAAATCTAGGGTTGGTTACAACAGCTTGGGGAGGCCAATTTAGGTGTCGTAGGCACAATTACAGTTTTTCTGTAGGCAAGATGACAAATGGCAGGCTGGCGGTGGAATCATTAATGCTTATTAACTGATGAATTTGTAGGGTCCAGGTCAGACCGGTCATCATTTACTTACAAGTGTCACGAATGGGAAGGGGGTAGGGCAGTTGGTGGTCACTCAATGACTGTAGTCAAGCCACCTAAAAAATATATAATGCTCCGCCATGCTCATCGGTGCATATCGGCTTGTCCTATGCTGTTGTTTCTTAGTGTTTTATGGCATGTCGTCTGATGCGGTCATTTAACATCCATAAAGTGGGCAGGTCTTTTAACATAGCTGGTTTTGAACGAAACACAAGACGTCAATTCCTAGGCCTTCATCACGCAAGCCCAAGTGGAAAAGCGCCATCCATGAGCTTTCATACCGCTGATGAAGTGCCTTTCTGTGTTGTTGACTTTCTCTCTTTGTCTCTCGTTGATGACTTTGCTGTCCAAAGTGGCATTTGTTCCGATTATCTCTTCGTTCTTCGTTGCTCCTGAAACATCATTGATATTTTGAAAAATGGCTTACATCGTTTTTCTTACGCACTCCCGGGAAGTACTGACATCCGCGATGCATGCTTTTTACGCGTGCACGGTTGTAATTTCGAGCCCCTATCTTATAAGTAGCTTATTATAATTCGCTGTGAGCTGTATTTACTGGGTGGTTCTGAGGCGAAACAATGACTACTGCAGGCCAAAGCAAACTGTATCGGAATGAAATGTCAAATGTGATCGCTATGTAGATAAATGACGAATCTTGTTGGGAGATCATTCATCTGCCTGTCATCATACGGCAGGGGCCGACACCCCTCCCCACCCTTTGACATCCGCGCCTCAGATCTCCTCCCCAAACATACCACCCCCCCCCCCCCCCCCAATGCTCCTGTTGCTAAGTTGGACACTTGCAGCCAGGGCTCTGGCCTGACCCACCATTTCGGGTGCTGTTGACCCTCCGCGATTCGATCAGCTGGGCGTTGCTCCTGTCGTCGTAGCCGTTTTCCCTGAACACAGTAACGTTGTGACCATCGGGACCTCTGGTGCGCTTAACGCGCTCGTCGGACACGGTGACCCGGCTGCCTCTCCGCAGCAGTCGGCGTCGTAGGACCTCCTCGCTCGTGCCGTTCACTGCAGGAACCAGAGACAAGTCAGCCGACCCGTAGACCGGCGCCCGTAGGAGGACTGGTGAGTGCGCCGACAGCGCTGCAGCGGTCGATGGCCCAGCTACACTGATCGAAATTGTACTGACCACGCTTCGGTTTAAGCGCCCGATAACTACCAGCGTGTTTCAAGGGTGACCTGTTTTGCTTAGTTAAGAGGAAGAGGCACACCGAGACTACCACTCCCGCTACCGCTACGTCGCGTCCAAGGCAATGCACCAGCGAATGGAGAGGCAGGAGCGAGCACTGACAGCCGGGCGAGCGGCGGGGTTTCCACTGCCGCTGGAAGAAGTGGAACGGCAGCGAAAAACTCCAGTTATCAACCAGATCCACTGGTCAGCACTGAGAGAGCATGGTCACCGGAAAGGGACACTGCTCACCGCCGTGAGACGGGATGCAGAGTCGGCGGAGTTTGTTTAATGGCTGACGTTATTTTGGCAGGCATTGCCACTGACATGTCGACTACTAATAACAACGAATTGAGTGCATCGACAATGTTATTCAAAGCAGTAAGATGCCGACGGCCTTGAGTTCCCTTATTGCTATTCTGAGCCCCTTCCCACCAGCAGTGCACCAATAACGGAAGGACCCGCCGCCAACGTCGACGTCTTCGAAAGCAATCGCTCTGGCCCATTGGCTTTTATCACTTGATTCTTAATCTCACTTTGTGCACATGACCTTCATTTATCATGCTTTTTCAGGTCTGAACCGTCGTGCGTTTGACTTTTTTTTGCAATGCACTTGAGCAAAACAAGGAATACTGGACCGAGGCACTGCAGCAATTGACTGCTGGTATAATAGGTACTTGAACGCAGCACTATCAAATATCAATATCATTATTAGCTTGTACCATTGTTATCATAAACACAACTGTTTCCAATGGGAAGTAGTCCTTAACATGACAAAATTCTGGAACCAACCAAATGTTTGCAAGACTTAATTTTTACATCAGGATGGGGCAACACGTACACACACACGGTAGCCGAGGTCCGGAGAGAAACAAGGATTTGCGGGTAGGTTAGGCCAGCTTTAAAGATTCATCCCCCGACCGACTTTAGACAGTACCACCCCTGCGTTGCAGTCTTCATGCTTACGTCTGATCCAGGTAGGCTGCACGCTGACTGATATGTTGTGCTTAACCATAGTGTCATTGGCCATGATGGCCCATTCGAATTCCTGGGCAGCATATCCTGAAAGCATTCAAACCGTTAACGCTCCACATCAACCGATTGACTTGCTGATCACCACCAACCCAGGATATTCCCTGGACGTCCGGGAAGCCCCACAAAAAATGGAGGTGAGCTCAAAGAGGCTGCCTATGAGGAGTTGCCTCCTTTTTTTGCCATTTATGCCATCACACCGTCACGTGATGATGGGCTGAAGTCAAAAATAGCCACAGCCCTTCAATGAAGGCCAAAATATTTTCACAAAACATTTCTCGGGATTTCTAGTGGCGTCGGCTATAGTGCTGACCAGGGCTAGCCATGCAACAAGCACACACACGGATGCGAGGTCGACGAAGCTAGTTCCAACGTGGTTCGTGAACTTTTATAAGCTTCCAACTGGATGCAGTCTCGAACGCATCCGTCGCGATCGCGGGTCGCCGGTGGCGCCTCGGACCTGCCGATGCGGTGGAGCTCTCGACGAGGAAGAAGCCACGTGCGTGTGGCGACGCCAGCGTCCAGTCCATCGAATCCACGTAGACAGACGACGAAGCCAGGCCGCACTCGCAGCCGTCCCTGAACAAACGGTACCGCATCAATGGGAGTTGGATCGGTGTTGAGCTGCATCACGGCCTGCGCGCCAGATGGCATCCGCACTGGGCAGATGCGAGCTGCTGCGGTCGGCTCCAGAAAACAAGTAGACAAACAGAAAGCCAGATGACAAAAGTTAACATGACAAGTCAAATGGCAAAAACTTAGCCAAGGAAAAAGTACAATGAAAAAGGTAAAAAAAGTCAAAAGGACGAACGTTCAAACCACATAAAGCATCACAAATGAACGTCAAATGGACAAAGCGAGATCGCAAAAACCAGAAGTGACAAAAGTCGGGGGGCCAGAGCGATTGCTTTCGAAGACGTCAACGTTGGTGGCGCGTCTATCCATTACTGGCATACCTATGTGAGGGGCATTGTTGGGTGCATAGCATGCATGTAGGCTTATGAGTTGTAGCCGGTGTGTTGCTTTTTTTGCACCACGCAGTTGGTCGTGCGTCTTTCTCTGTCCAGATCGTTGAAATCTGACGTAAATCTTTAAACACCCCAATACGGGCAGTGTCATGATTCGAGCACAATGGCTCGTGTTGGCCCCCACACATCGCTCTACACTGTTGTCAGTAGTGATGACTGGATCGGGACAAATGCTGAGCTGCTGCTGTTGCAGGAATGCTGCAGAAAAAACACGCCTCAACATAGCAACGGGCCGCTCACGTTGATTAACTTGTGTCTCGAGTAAGGCCGGCCCGGACGGCACCTTTCCTCGTAACTTATTGCGCGCGTTGTGATCATTCACCACAACTCCCCTTTGTCATTGAGCATTTTGAAAGCACTCGCGCTTCTTTGGCACTTGTCTGGTACGGTCAAACGACTCTTCGGTAAGTGTGGAAAGAAAAAGCCGGAGAATGGACACAAAAGGTATGGTCCCTATAGACTGATATTGATCAGCTGTCAGACGCAAGACGTCTAACAATCCAGGGACGATCAACAAAGAATGCGGGGACGTCTGTTCTGGCAAGTCAAAACCTGCCACAAGCTGTGCATGGGCGCAAAACTGCTGTGCAAGTTTCAACGTGCATACTTACGGCGAATTTGTCAGTACTCTCCCGCCATGCGTTGAAGAAGCACACTCGATTTTAAGCACCCACTGGCAAAGAGAGGCGCACGCCTTATCAATGCCATGCCACTCACACGCCTAGCATGATGGCCCGGACCCCTTTTCTGTCGTTGCACGCGATGATACACTGGTCCAGCACTGTCGCGCCCGGCTGCGCCTCCCACGCCGCTCCGTGGGGCTTGTGGGAGACCCAGTGCGCCTTCAGGCCAGCTGTGAGCGGATCAGGTCAGGCTCAGGGCCAGGGCAGGTCAGGTCAAGCGTAAGGCGGGGTGCCGAGTGCTCCGTCCGCGACCTTGACAATAATAAACATTAACAACTGAATGCCACCGCAAACCTCCGTCCAATCCCAACAAACAGGGACAATGTATCAGACTCGCTTACCATTTCGGAGACTTTTGCTGCGCACGCTCCAAAAGCCTTCTACTGACTGACTGGAGTGACAAGCTCAGACATCCACGGGCTAACTGAAGTGACAAGCTCGAGCACTCGCTGGCTAATTGTTAATTGAGGCACCTCTACCCAAACGGGCATTGGTTATCGGGGTTTTCAGTTGTCCGTGCCGGAACAGCGACCGACCGGAAGCCGCCGGGAGTCCGAAGAGCGTCCAGTCCGCCGCCGGAGTGCGGGAAACGTCCAGTCCGCCGACGGAGTCCGAACAACGTCCAGCGCGTCGCAGGAGTCCGAGCAGCGCCTAACGCGCCTCAGGAGTCCGGGCTGCGTCCAGCGCGCCGCCGGAGTCCGGACAGCGCCCAGTCCGCCGCCGGAGTCCGGACAGGGTCCAGCGCGCCGCAGGAGTCCGGACAGCGTCCAGCGCGCAGCCGGGGCGCTGTTCAGGGGAGCGGAGCACGCGGCGCGTTCAGCTCACCTCTAGCGGAGATTTTGGCGTAGTTCTGCCGCCATACGGGCACGGAGAGCACTGAGTAGGCGTCGTCGCTGACCAGCTGCGCCTGGCAGCGAGCCATCGGCAGGCGGCGCAGGCCCCCACCACGATCGCCGCAGCGACAGCCGCTCCTGCGGCGGCGACGCACCGACTGAGGCGTAACCAAGCGGCGCGGAGACGCGGGGCGCAGGGGCACGCGGAGAGAGACGTCAACTGAGCCGAGTCAAAATCCATCGCTGGGGCGTATACAGTTTTTGGATGATTGGACTTACCTTCCAAATGCTACGAAAGCATTTTTGGCCTTGTGGCAGGCTTCGATGCATTCGGAAAAGCGACGGTGAGGGTGCCGTTTCCACTGGCTGGGCTCAGTGGTGCACTGCCACCCTTCGGGAACTGAAACAGCAGTACAGTGCGTTGTCTCTCTTGATGGCTCCTCATCAAAAGACGGAACCGACACGGTAGAGACGGGAACAGACCAAGGATTTCTCCGAGTGAGACGAAGGGGGGAGGGGGGCGGAATGTCACGAGACATTGTAGTACCCAGTGGGACTCGGCGTTTACACTCATGAAGCCTCCGGATGCCCGTCTCGGACTCGAATTTTGAACATAAAGGCTCTGGGTCCGAAGCGAAGGCGTTGATGCTACCCACCAGGGGCGCAGCCAGAGCCCCGGCAAGGGGGGGGCGCAGGGTTGGCAAAGGTCCCCTTGATAGTAAAAGGGTCCCAAAAATCGCCGGAGATGGCTCATTTGTTATTGAAAACATGGTTTTTCCTAGGTATTGTATATATATATATATATATATATATATATATATTCATCAAACATAGTATTTTTTTAATGGAGCATTGGCCAGACGCTACCGCGAGATCAATTCTGCCTTACCTTAATGGTGATAAACTGACAAAGTCATGCGTTAAATGACTGCTTGAAATAGATCGGCGGTGCTCTTCATTTTACCATGGTGCAGTAAAATTCTCTAAAAACAATAGAACTCAGAAACTTTGCCATAATTTTTATATATGCTATACAGAAATAATAAGGATTTCGCGAATGCAGATTAGAGATCAAAGTGAGTCCACAATTTTTGTTGACATGGCTTGGCCATGTTTGTCTGGATATGTTCAACATTCAGTCAAAATGGAATAGTGGTACAAATTATGTAACGTAGTTTTGAGCACACGCGCTCGGATATCCCAGCTACTTGTTTCTGAAACTTGACTGCTTCCGTAATGTGACTTTTGCATGTGGACTACGTATGTCCTAAATATGCAATAAACGGAAAACACTCGATGTCAGGCGTCGCAGCCTCCGTAGGCCACCCAACGTCGGCCTCGCGGCTAACATTAGGCCGTGGCCAATACGTGGGCGAAAATGGTGACGCATCTGAAAAGAAGCACCTGTGAGCGCTTTAGGACACCAAATCGTGCATTAAGAGATATTTCGGGCGTATATTTCATCGGCGCGGTTTTTATATTGGTGACAATGACGTATTGGTCTTTACAGCACCGCGAAGTGGCGCTGGGTTCTGGTGGTGGAACTGGAACAGTAGAGGTAAAATCTTTATTTTCCGTGTTGCTGTAACTGTTAATCTGTCCAGAGGCCAGCTGCAAAGTTGTAAAATAAAAAAAAAACGCCAAGAGTTATCTGTGATCTGTACGACTTGATTTTGAAAGACATTCAGAAACATTGTTTTGCGATGGCCATCGATGGGCGCTCGGCGCCCGTTCCCTGACGTTACCTGCAGTGGCCAACGGCGTTGGGCTGTACGAAAGCTGCAACCCAAGCCATCGCTACCTTTACTCCCTGTGATTACGGGCGTGCCATTTAGGGTAAATGACTCACTTAGCTACTGGGGCTATACATGTCGTCGCCAGCCTCTCACCCTGGCAGGAAGGGCGGGTACCGTGGGGAATCGAACACCGTACCTGTAATTCCCCAGCCGAGCAGTGGTTAACGCAGGCGCGTTCACCACGTTACTATCGGCACCCGGCGCGCAGGCTCAAACCTTTTGATGGTATTTATTTTACGAGTCGATTCAGCAAAATAATGAACGTTCTCAATGCAAAATGGGATGGCCTTGTGCGTTTTCAGCTCATTTCGATCCACTCCATTCAACACTTATGAGACCCCTTATTTCTTTCCGGTAAAGGGGATCGCATGAGTACAACACTACGGGGAGCATTGCTATTCTCGGTCAGGGCTGAACGGCCATCTTGTCCCACCGCGGTGTGTTTTCTGGCCGTCATTCTGACAACACGGGGCGCCATTCCCTGGCCTATCGGAGGCTCTTAGAAGGATATGTTATATCACATTGGTCTGCTCCGTGGCGCGGGAGGCCTTCCGATCCGCGCAGTTGACTCCGGATCAACGCATGAACCGTCATTAATGCAACACCGTCCCTGCTCGCCGCAGGTGGTCAAATCATTGGCACATAGACTCCATTTGGGCCTAACGGGCCGAAGCTGAAATATGGTTGGAGGGCTCACCGTTCGATACAGGGGCCCTGACTAGCACGGGGCTCTTCTATTACCTCAATGTGAACGCTCATCATATGTTCACATGTTTTTTATTGTTAGAGGGCCCCGACCAACGCAAGGGGCTTTCTGCCATTCGGGCTCCCGCCCTCGTTCCTGTTGAGCAAATCTTCAGCTGACCGATTCGAGGCCCCTTGTTCACACAGAATGCTCTGTTAGGCGCTGTGGGCCCATGAATGATACAGGAACCCGACCAATGTAAATCGTGGGCCCGGCATTGTTCCTGCTTGGGAAATGGGCCCCCAGAGCTCAGACCAGCACGGAGCCGACTGTTCGTTGTTCGTGATCTCTGGCCGAAATAGGGGAACGCTCTGTCTCAGGGATCCTTGTCGGTGCAAGAGATCATCTTACCGACATTTGAGACCATCGCCTTACCGTAATCATGGCTTGCTGTAGGTAGGTCACTAACACACAACCACGCACATGGCCTGACATGTCTGTAAGTTTTTTAACTGTCATTTACCAGTGCATAAGACCGACGCCTACACGGCGATTTAGCCGGCAGCAGACAGGGCGGCGCCATGGGTGCCTGGTCCGTATCGGGCGGGGCAGGAATGCGTGTGCCTGCCGACCTCTCATTCGACAGTGCGGTACCACGTGCGGCTATCGAGCGTATACCATGCGGTTCAGTCACGCGTGCGCCTGACAGCTGTGCGCTGCACGGAGCAGACCCGAGAGCACATACGGACCGTTGACGGAGCCCTCCTTGTCGAGCAGCAGGTAGCCCCTGTCCGGGGTGCCCGTCCGAGACGCCTGCTTCGCCATCCACTCCTGCACGTGAATCTCGGTGTGGTTGCGGCGCAGACTGCCGCACGAGCAGCCGTCTCTGGGGACAAGAGATATAGCGACTGGGAACGGAGTTTCTCATGCACATAGCACAGGCAGCCACTTGGGGTAGAGAGGCTGAACGAGACGCTGACAAATCTCCGACGCTAGCATGCGCACATGGCCCGCTGTCTGTCTGTGGGAGCAGCAGACATATGTGGCGCGACGGGTGTGACGCTAGCAAGCTTCCACACTCACGGGCAGACACGGTCAGCCAGCGGTCGGAGGTCTTCAAACGCGTGAGCAATAGGACACACGAATAGCAGCATTTAATCGAGCCACATACACTCCGAAACTGTGTAGCTTCGTCGGAGGAGTCGTGAAATCTGACCACGTAGGTGTCTCATCCCGAAGAGTACAGTACGATCTTTGGAAGCGTTGTGATGTTGGAATACGTCTGCAGCGGGTGAGAACCACACTCATAATATGGCTGGCCCTTCTCCGATCGCGTTCCTTGCCATCACATCATCATGTGGGAGGTATCGCACACCGCGCGACCCAACGGGTCTGAATTCACGGGTCTGACCTCACGGGTCTAACCTCACGGGTCTAACCCCACGGGTCTGACCTTCGGGTCTGACTTGACAGGTCTGACCTCACCAAATCTGACCTCAATCATCTGACCTCCGGGTCCGACCTCAAGGGTCTGACCTCATGGGTCTGACCTCATAGGTCTGACCTCACGGGGATAAACCCAGCCGCGGACGGCAAGCACACCCCGCACGCCCCGCACCGCCTGCCTGACGTCCGGGCCCACCAAATTCGCAGCCAGCTCTGGAGGCCAGACGGGCGCTGCACTCACTGGCCCATCGCGACAAAACGCTTGTTGCAACCGAGGACGCACTGCTCCAGCTCAGAGACGTCCAGCAGCGAGGTCCAGAAGACGACCGGCGCCTTCTCGGCCACCCACCAGAAGACGTAGTCTGTCAAACGGACGCGTCCCGAGTCAGCCGCCGCTCCAGGGAGGGCTTATATCTGCAGATCTGGACCGCCTGCACTTAGGCCCGCGTGATTCGAGGCCACATGCAAATTTTTGGAAGCCTTTCATCGAAGGGGAAACCGTTACTAAGGCAAAACTATGAACTGGACGAGCAAGCATTGTCTGGAAAAAATGTCTCAAAACATTGTTTCCAACATGTCGAAAATGTTGGAAATTAGGATGGGTAAGAGGCTTTATCATCAGAAGACAGTCAAAACAAACCGGCGTGTCGATGACACGGGCCGGTCGTGTCAGAGGTCAACTATAGGTCACCAGGTCAGACGACAGTGACGGCCGTTACATCATCGTGGAGTGCGCGACCCGTCACAGCGACGAGCACGCCAGCTGCAGGGATCCGATTCAGAGAGTGGCGTGACACAAAATGTCAAGTTGTCACACATAATGTGCAGACCAGCAAGAAGTGCGGGACAAAGCGCGAGTACTAGATGAAATGTCTATCGCTTAGTCAAAAATGCAAGCGGCGTTCCCTAGTAGCCTCCCAGCCCCCACCCCGCCGTCCGTCCCCCGTGTCGAGGCATACGTCCGAGAAGACGTACATCGGCCAGTGCGCCCTGGGGCCTGCCCAGTTTCCCTCGTGCATTCTCACATGTCAGGAGGGCGTGTGACCAACATAGCGGCCCAACGTATTTGGCATGACAGGCAAGATCCCCTACCGGGAGGAAAATGGGCAGGGCATGCTCAGTTCAGAGCCATACCCGCTTCCGAATGGACGAGGGCACACCCGCCACCTTGCACTCACTGTTGACGTATTCCTCGACGTACTGGATCTGTCTTTGGATGACGTTGATGCTGATGATGGAGTATGACCGTGTTGTGGTGATGTTCATTTGACACTGAGTCCGGGAGAATCGTTCCAGGTGATCAGTGTTATTCCCGCAGTAGAAATTGTCCCTGCAGCAGATCATTTCGTAAGCTGTAAGGTGTCTTCAGAACGCAGGTGGAGCTGTAGGTGAAGGCTCGCATAAATGTGCAGAGGCTCGAGCACCCCAGCCCACCTTTCCCCAATGGCTGAGCTTCAACATGACACCGATGGACGGTGTGGATAGGAAGCGATCTGACATCCAAATGTGTCCAATTTTGACTTCAAATCGCAATATGCTCTCAATTATTTGGTAAAAGTTTTAACCACAGGTGGAATAAGGTCGTGAAATGATGAGAAGCAAGATCGGCAAGGTAGAGGTTAGACAGGTGATAGCGTTGGGAAGAAAGATAACAGTGAAAAAATATGAAACAGGCGAGATAGCAAAAATATGTGGGAGCAATGAAGTACGTGTAGGTTAAAAAGACGACAGAGGTGGGAGTGAAAAACGCAGAGCAGGTGACAGAGGTAAGAGTGAGGGAATGGACGGGCGAGAGGGATGAGAGGGAATAGGAAGGGGAAACGCGAGGGTAGGAGAAAGTTAAGAGAACGAGAACAGATGATAAACAGGGAAAAAGGCCGAGAGAGAGAGAGAGAGAGAGAGAGAGAGAGAGAGAGAGAGAGAGAGAGAGAGAGAGAGAGAGAGAGAGAGAGAGAGAGAGAGAGAGAGAGAGAGAGAGAGAGAGAGAGAGAGAGAGAGAGAGAGAGAGAGAGAGAGAGAGAGAGAGAGAGAGAGAGAGAGATGTACATACATATACATACATATATACATATACATACATACATACATATATATATATATATATATATATATATATATATATATATATATATATATATATATATATATACAACATAAGCGCAATGAAACACAAGCAGCCGGAGAGAGTTCGCGCACGTCCCGGTATGTGCTCACTTGGCGGGCGCTAGGAAACGGAAGCGGCGCCGCTGGCAGGCTTCCAGCGCCTCCTGCAGGCTCTGCGCGCCCGAAACCGGCACGAAGCTGCTCGGCGCCGCCGTGCACTCCCAGCCACCGAGCCGGTGCGCGTGCAGCTGTACCGTAAAGCCAGGGTCGAGTGCGACCCGCTTGTTGCTCAGGTAGTCCAGGTCCTCCTGGCGGATCGCGGCTGACCGGTTGGTGGCCATGCCGCAGCGGCAGCCGCGCCTGTGGCAGCCAAGGGTGTCTCAGGGCCGCGACCTCGCGTGCTCCGTGCTGCGTCTCGCTAGCGTGCCGCCGCGGGATACTGAGGTCAGATAGGGCGGCTGTCGCAGTAATATTGAGGTCAGATAGGGCGACTGTCGCAGTAATACTGAGGTCAGACAGGGCGACTGCCGCAGTAATACTGAGGTCAGACAGGGCGGCTGTCGCAGTAGTACTGAGGTCAGACAGGGCGACTGTCGCAGTAATACTGAGGTCAGACAGGGCGGCTGTCGCAGTAATACTGAGGTCAGACAGGGCGACTGCCGCAGTAATACTGAGGTCAGATAGCACGGGTGTCGCAGTAATACTGAGGTCAGACAGGGCGACTGCCGCAGTAATCCTGAGGTCAGATAGGGCGGCTGTCGCAGTAATACTGAGGTCAGATAGGGCGGCTGCCGCAGTAATACTGAGGTCAGATAGCACGGGTGTCGCAGTAATACTGAGGTCAGACAGGGCGACTGCCGCAGTAATCTTGAGGTCAGATAGGGCGGTTGTCGCAGTAATACTGAGGTCAGGTAGCACGGGTGTCGCAGTAATACTGAGGTCAGATAGGGCAGCTGCCGCAGTAATGCTGAGGTCAGATAGGCGGCTGTCGCAGTAATACTGAGGTCAGATAGCACGGGTGTCGCAGTAATACTGAGGTCAGATAGCACGGGTGTCGCAGTAATACTGAGGTCAGATAGGGCGGCTGTCGCAGTAATACTGAGGTCAGACAGGGCGGCTGACGCAGTAATGCTGAGGTCAGATAGGGCGGCTGTCGCAGTAATACTGAGGTCAGACAGGGCGACTGTCGCAGTAATACTGAGGTCAGACAAGGCAGCTGCCGCAGTAATACTGAGGTCAGATAGGGCGGCTGTCGCAGTAATATTGAGGTCAGATAGGGCGGCTGTCGCAGTAATACTGAGGTCAGATAGGGCGACTGTGCAGTAATACTGAGGTCAGACAAGGCGGCTGCCGCAGTAATACTGAGGTCAGATAGGGCGGCTGTGCAGTAATACTGAGGTCAGACAGGGCGGCTGTCGCAGTAATATTGAGGTCAGATAGGGCGACTGTGCAGTAATACTGAGGTCAGATAGGGCGGCTGCCGCAGTAATGCTGAGGTCAGATAGGGCGACTGTCGCAGTAATACTGAGGTCAGATAGGGCGGCTGTCGCAGTAATACTGAGGTCAGATAGGGCGGCTGTCGCAGTAATACTGAGGTCAGATAGGGCAGCTGCCGCAGTAATGCTGAGGTCAGATAGGGCGACTGCCGCAGTAGTACTGAAGTCAGACAAGGCAGCTGCCGCAGTAATATTGAGGTCAGATAGGGCGACCGCGCTGCAATACTGAGGTCAAATAGGGCAGCTGCCGCAGTAATGCTTAATAGCGGATAAAAGGAGTGTTTGCCTCGTTCACAACCGGAATTCGTGAGGCTGCCCTCATCTCAGGTGACGTTACCGGCGGTGCACTGGTGTGATTCCGGTACTCTCCTATCGATGCTCCAGTAAGTACGCAGCGAGGGAGATGAAGGCAATGCAGAAGAGCCGTTAGCGTATGTGGATAGAACAGTGCAGGCCCACCCTGCTGTCATGCACCCTAAACTTTCTATGCGAAAAGCTGACTCGGCCACCGCTACCTGTTTCTAGTAACCATACAATGCGACAATAGGACAAGAGCATTCTCGGACAATGGGTGTGTGTATTAAGTCACAAAACTGCTCCAGGCAAGGATCTCAATTTTGTTGCCGTTCATGATCATCAGTTTCGTATACCTCGACGACATTTTGGCGCCCTACATGGCCCAGGGCTAGTCACAGGATTGATATGTGGCTGAAATGTCGAGAATGGGACACATCACGCCCTTCTCAAAGGCATGACACTAACAGATAATTTCCGATTTCGTAAGTTATTTAGTGCGGTTGCAAGGAACAGTACGAATTTAGATAAGACAGAATTGTTAGCCATATTCCTCACAGAATAACCAACAGAAAGGAGGGATAGATGCACTGATATTTTGGCTACATACCTTTACCGACTACTAATATTCGTTTTGACAAATGCATGTGGTCGAGATATCAATGCAATCACCTGTCCTTTCTCCTGGTAATTCCACGAGGAATAAGGCTAAAAGTACCGCCGAAGCTTCCGAATTCTGGAAACTGGTGCTCATCGGAGCCAAGTTTTCACATTTTCAAGCATATCCCAATAAAACTGACCATGTCTTTTGAGAACCGGATTGTTATACGCAAATGAACAGCGTAGGTGCACGGGTAATGTGATTATTGATGTGCACGGGTAATGTCAAATTCAGTGCATCTTCTCACGTGACAGATGTTAACCTTCCGCGAACCGTCTATTTGGATATTATTACACAAACTTTGCATGGTGAATATGGGAGGCGACCTGGGCAGGCCCATGTAAATGTCGTAGGAGGGCAATGTCCTGATTTAGGAAGCGGTCAGACGTTGACAGAACCCCGAGCCCAGACCCTGACTAACAGTACAGGGGTCAGTGGTAATGATGCTATGTCGCGAGGTTTTGATAAACAAAATCTTTTATTCGCCAAGTACTTCGATCGTATCATTATCCGCACCCCAACTGCCCCCGGTTAAAAAAGGTATGGCTTATGTCCTTCGAGTCTCCGCCCAGCCTAGAAGCAGAGCAGAAAAAATGTGCGACATAATTACATCATGTAGATTTTTGAAGACGTTCCGATTTACCATTTCCTGGCGTGTGAGAACGCCCCTGACTGTCGCGATATTTGTGTTCAAATATGAAAGCCGTTTCAGACCACCAACTTTACTTCAACGCATCGCAAGAAAAAGTCGTGAAAGAGATTTCGATATCTCAAGGAAGGAGAGGAGGAATCATAGCAGCCCACGTACACATTTCAGTTGGAATGGTGCAAATAAGGGTCAAAAGTTCCAGCATGATTTCAGGCAACTTCGGAACAACATAAACTTAACAGCCCCAAGGTTAAAAATACGAAAATGGACAATTTCATAAGGTAGTTTTTCGCGTCGTTTCCTTTACCAGCTGCAAAGTGGAAAACCAAATGAAGCCGTTCTCTCAAAGACCGTGCCCGACAATGCCTCCAAAACTTGCCTTTAGACAAGCAAGGTCAAGGTAAAAGGGATATTTCAATCCAAACAACTGACTGGACTAAGTGGTTGTGGGCAGCACGTGACCTTACTTCCATGCAGCCGTTGGCCCACCCGCTGGCTTGCCGGGAGCGCCTCTCACCGATCGATCCTGGCGAAGTCCTGGCCGAACTTGTGGCAGAGCGTGCAGCAGCCGCGGATAGAGGTGGGTTTGTACGGCACGGTGGACACGGTTCCCCAGACGACGCCGGCAGCGGGTCGGGCTGATACCCACATCTGCATCTCTGCCGGCGGCCAATGGCGTCCGACGCCGGTCAGGGCGACAGTGCGCCGGCCCCGCTTACGTCGGCATCACTAGCTCAGGGGTCACACACCAGATCGCAGCGTCCGACGCCAGTCAGGGCGACAGTGCGCCGGCCCCGCTCACGTCGGCATCACTAGCTCAGGGGTCACACACCAGATCGCAGCAGAGCAAAAGGTCAACACGTGGAAGCGACAAAGTGTGCCAAAGATGCAAGCAGCTGAAAACAACAGCATTTGTGTTTATCGTAACGAGCAATATCAAAATTGCTATGAAAAAATCACAGACGGTAAGTCATGAATTGTTCAGCTGCACTGGTACCCTAGTTCATATCGAACAAGTGGCATCTGCGGGACAGGAGCTCGACGCCCGTCCCTCCCCTGCCCACCCGCTGGCCGTGAGCGCCTGTCGCCGCGAGTCACTGCGGACGCTGCCTCACCGCGGTTCAGATGCTGCAGGTCATTCCGGTAGAACTTGACGCTGATGACGTGGTAGGCCTTGGCGCCGCACTTGCGGGAGGTTAAGTTCGTCACAGAATTCCAGAACTGACAGCCGTTGGCTCCCAGCAGGAGGTAGTGAACCTTGCGCTGGAGTGCCTCAGACCAGCACTGCTCGACAGTGCTGTGGCCCATCTCCCACATTCGCCCAGTCGGTGTGTCTGAGCAGCGCCAGCTGCCTGTGGACAGTGGACACCAGCGGTACCACTTGCCTGTGGACAGCGGACGTAAGCGGTGCCACCTGCCTGTGGACAGCGGACGTAAGCGGTGCCACTTGCCTGTGGACAGCGGATGTCAGCGGTGCCACTTGCCTGTGGACAGTGGACGTCAGCAGTACCACTTGCCTGTGGATAGCAGACGTCAGTGGTGCCACCTGCCTGTGGACAGTGGACGTCAGCAGTACCACTTGCCTGTGGATAGCAGACGTCAGTGGTGCCACCTGCCTGTGGACAGTGGACGTCAGCAGTACCACTTGCCTGTGGATAGCAGACGTCAGTGGTGCCACCTGCCTGTGGACAGTGGACGTCAGTGGTGCCAGCTGCCTGTGGACAGGGGACGTCATATTTTGTGAAATACCTCGCGCGTTAACACCGCAAACAGTTGCATAGTAAACAATGCGACACTGAACAACACATCTTGCAATGCAGTAAATTGCCCTTACGGCAATTTTAGTTGGTCAGCTAACAAAACATAGTCCAATCTGCCCAAGCGTAGCTGAGCGCCGTACCGCACCTTCAGAAGTCGCCCTGCTAATGGTAGCGCTTCTTCAGAAGGTAGAGTTGGCGGTATCTGTAGCATGCACGCTACTATGGGTTGTTTTCTACCCACATTTATTCTTTTTTCCTGACTTACCTAGTTGATCAAGGACAGCTCGCTTCAAAATTTGAATAAGCAGCCACTTGAATTTTTTGCGGCGGCTCTTCGCAGCAGATGTGTCATGTTGTTTCTTCCTCTTATGCTTCCTTTTACTATTGAGCAGGTGACGCACAAGCTTTTTGGCGCTGCTTGCCTTCGATCCTATAGAAATGATGCATGAGTTATGGGCGTTGTGCCACCAGACGCACGGCTCAACAGCTCATTCAAAACAAGCTAGCGCTCAGCGCTCAGAATCGTGATTTCTGGAGAGGGCATGGAATGAGCACCTGGTGTTGCGTGTTCACTGCCTCCTCGTTCATTTTACCGGTGCACATCCTCATCAATGCTCAGTTTATTGCATTCAAGCTTTCGCATGATTTGTCATTCGTGTGATTGGGGCTCGTCTTGCGCTTGGGCGGTGTAGAAAATGCTTGACATCTATAGTCTAACAAAATGTCGGTTGCAGTCCTCAGGGAGTGTGGCTTCGCAGTCATCTGACCGAACAGCGCAGCCGCGAGCGGACGCCCACCGGTGCTGTCTCTGACGCGTGCCAGGTCGTTGCAGAGTGTCATTCATTGTCACGCGCACGTGCGCGGAGCTGGTTCCAGCACCACTTCGGGCAATCTCAGGATGGTTGTCATGCTGCAACCAATATCTCGTGCAGCAGATACGGATCACTATATTTTTTCCCGATAGTTGACAGCAAGTACCGCGTCGTTGAGACCCATTACACCCTTCTTCCCTCCCCCTGCCTCGGCATGTGACATAGCATGGCGGTGGTGCCTTTCAAGAACGCGAGCCCGCCGGAAACCGTCTTCACGATGGATGCCAACAAATAAGAGTCTGCCATGGCATAGCACGGCTTGACTGTGCGTCCGAGCCGGGTGTCTCGCACCGAGACTGCGGCGCCGGGTCCCTCGTCCATCGCGTCTGCTCTAGGTGGACAAATAGAGCCGCCTCCACGCGGCACCTCGTGCGAGCCTGTTATCTCCCTCCTTTTGTTCAGTGTATAGTGCCGCGACCCAAAGCCGCGTAAGCAGTGTTGCCTATCAGATATGGAACTGCTTTGAACTGGGGCTGCGCGGTGTGGGAGCTTACCTGAATGGCTGGACCTGGTCGGAGCGAGGGCATGTCCCCCGAACCTTCCCGCGTTTCCCTGCGGTTGGGATGCGCCCAGTTGCGACCCGTCTGCAAGAAAAAAAAGCACCGCTGACGTGCCAGTCAGGGCACCTTGTCTCAAAACGCACCTGGGGACAATTTCTTACCGGCAAACGCTGTCTGGCTCTCGACGGGCGTACACTACACACCAGAAAAAAGCGTTTGTGATCAACACAAATCTCCCAAAGCCTTTTGGACAGATTGTCCATGCCATATGAGCCGCTATTGTACGGTAGCGAGTGGAGCGATGCTACACTACTGCAAGGATGAATTTGGGACCAGAAACATGATTTAGAATCCAGGTCACGAATGTAGAGTTCTGGACTTCAAGTCAAATCTCGGGGCAGTCATTCCCACATTGCATGAGTAGGATTTCGATTCTGGTGTCCCGGGGCCGAAGTCCTATGCTGAGACCTGGCCCGTTCAGATTTACCGCGTACGATTCTGGAACTGAATCTTAGTTTTAGGGCCTTGACATAGGAATGGATAGAGTTCTAGTCCGAGAAAATTAATCTCGCTGATAGTGTGCCGCTTGCAGTTCATGTGTTTCGCGACCAAAATGTTGTAGCTGAAGACAGCCAAACATACGCAAGTGTGATCCACATGTGCATTGTTGCCGTTTACTATATTCAATTCAACCGTTTAAAAGTATACTGGAAAAAGGGGTGGGCTTAGTTCAGATTGGTGTTTTACTGAGTTATGTCTCGATCAAATTTGGCTTGAGACTAAGTCTGGCTCCTGCGCAGTAAGGTTTCAGTCCGTGGACGAATCGGGTAAACTGTTTCTTAAAATTCATCATCTCGTCCTTCGCAAAGCCAGGAATTAACTCTTCCAAGGTAGCTCCAAAATGTTGCTCGACTTGTGGATGGCGTCGCTCTCACGTCAGGTCTGTACTTTGTGGATGGCGTCGCGCTCACGTCAGGTCTGTACTTTGTGGATGGCGTCGCGCTCACGTCAGGTCTGTACTTTGTGGATGGCGTCGCGCTCACGTCAGGTCTGTACTTTGTGGATGGCGTCGCGCTCACGTCAGGTCTGTACTTTGTGGATGGCGTCGCGCTCACGTCAGGTCTGTACTTTGTGGATGGCGTCGCGCTCACGTCAGGTCCGTACTTTGTGGATGGCGTCGCGCTCACGTCAGGTCCGTACTTTGTGGATGGCGTCGCGCTCACGTCAGGTCCGTACTTTGTGGATGGCGTCGCGCTCACGTCAGGTCTGTACTTTGTGGGTGGCGTCGCGCTCACGTCAGGTCTGTACTTTGTGGATGGCGTCGCGCTCACGTCAGGTCCTGTACTTTGTGGATGGCGTCGCGCTCACGTCAGGTCTGTACTTTGTGGATGGCGTCGCGCTCACGTCAGGTCTGTACTTTGTGGATGGCGTCGCGCTCACGTCAGGTCTGTACTTTGTCATGCCAAGCTGATCGGCTCGAAACAGCTTGAGCAGTGTTGTTGCCGACAGTGAGCAGCTTTGCGGAATTGAAATGATGCTGCGAATAAGGATACGATTGTTTTTCTCCATGACCTTTAAGTATGCCTATCAGTGGTGCCTGTCACGAATGCATTTGAAAGTTTCTGTACGTTGATGTAAGTAGCCTGGTATAAAAGAATATAGCATTGAGTCGCGCTGAGTAGCCTTGGTAAGTAGCATATTTTACAACAGAACGACTAGAACATCCAGCTCCTCTGATCCGTCACTGATGGGCCAGTTGCGGCTCAGGCCGGCACCACACTGAATTGATTTGGATCTGCAATACTGACCATTTCTAGGAAACACCTGGCACCTACAGACATCCACAGATCCATGTCTTTTCGCGTGGTGTGAGCCTCACCTGGACCTGCTGAGCTGGGCGCGGTGAAGGAGAAGCCGGTAAGACCGCGCGCGGCTGGTGTGGTACTGTTGGCAGGTGCCTCCTGGGACGGGCGCCCTGGCAGCACGCAAGCGCCGGTCAGACTCCTGTCAGACTCCAGTCAGACTGCAGTCAGACTCCGATCTCTGAAGGATATCCTAGCTTTCTATCCATGCCTTTTAGGGGAGCCAAAGGTTGCCGTGACCTTCCGTCACAAACCGGGCCACTCCCTGTCGGCCCCCCCGGCCAGACCTCCCGCCACGAACCGGACCACTCCCTGTCGTCTCCCCGGCCGGACCTCCCATCACGAACCGGCCCACCCCCTGTCGTCTTCCTGGCCGGTCCTCGTTCCACGAACCGGACCACTCCCTGTCGTCTCCCCGGCCAGGCCTCCCACCACGAACCGGACCACTCCCTGTCGTCTCCCCGGCCGGACCTCCCACCACGAACCGGACCACTCCCTGTCGTCTCCCTGGCCGGTCCTCGTTCCACGAACCGGATCACTCCTTGTCGTCTCCCCGGCCGGACCTCCCACCACGAACTGGACACCCCCTGTCGTCTCCCCGGCCGGTCCTCCCACCACGAACCGGACCACTCCCTGTCGTCTTCCCGGCCGGTCCCTGTCAGTACCATGCGCTTACTTTGGGGTCGCTGGACGCAGTACTGATGCTTTTCATCAAAGACGTAGTCAGTGTCACAGCTTTTGATGACGAACATTCCTCCATTGCAGCTGTAGTACCTCTGAGGATTTTGCGGATGCGGATATTTGCCATTCCGCGTTCGACAAGGGCCTGGCGAACAACACTTGGTGAGATGCGCAGCGTCAGCTTCAGGGGTGAAAAACTTTCGATTTACCGGATATGATCGATGACGAAAACGAACACCCACGCAAGCCACTTAATGGCAAGAGGAGACCATTCCAATTAGAAGGAACTCAAAGCTTGATTTTGGTCTGCACTCGCTGACGCTTGCAGCGCGAGCTTGTACAGAGCACATATCGAAACGTTGACGTTTCGCTTTATGCCTATGTTGAGCTACAATACGCTCCCGAACGTAGAAGCTTTAATCAGGAAAGTTTTTAGCAGGTGACAGAAATATACTACAACCTGCACTATACCAGTGCTGACGTCGCAGGTCAGTTGTGACACAGTGCCTTTCCAGTACCCCTCAGGTCAGTGATTTCACGGATTTTCAGCACATATTCACTTCACCTCCTAAGCAGCATAAAATACAAAATAAGTATGCTTTTTGCTAGTCGTTAAAATCATGGCTGGCCAGAGCACCTTGCGACGAACATGATCAGTTTGCTAAGCGGCGTTTTAAAGCGTCGTGCCATTTGAGACAGATGGGCGCGAATGCTCTCCACACGGTAATGAATTGGGTTCAGCGCAAGGCTGCGGGTAGACATTGGCTGTGTGCGTGTCGTGAGAAGCTGACGGGCTTGTAGAACGTAGCTAATCGTCAGTTATTTAAGGCGCTGTGCGGCTTTTCTGAGAATGTACCGTGGAGGGCGGCCCTGGTAATAGCGCCAAAAATCCTGCTGATTTAGGAGGCTTGTTGTTTGTGGATACCGGAGCTGTAGCTTCAGAGGTCAACGGCGGACGCTGGAACGTCACATATCAAGGATTTATCCGGGGATTCCTGGTGCTGAGAGGAACAGCGGCTTTAAGGTGAGAGGCCGAGTTTCGCTGATGTGGGCTTCTAATACCACCCATCCCACAATAGAGTTCGCGTTTTGACCGGCTGGTAGGCGTGAGATAGCACGGTTTTAGTTGTCATATGGTATATATATAGCTAAATGAAGGTGCTAGAAGTATGAAAAATGCCGTCTACGGCTTCTGATGCCAGCAGCCAATGTTACATGGCTTCCGCTCTGATTGGGGTTATTTTAGGAAGTGAGAAGCCTGCACAGATAATATCCAATGATTATGCGAAGATCGTAAAGGTCGCCAACGGTCACAGCTGATTGCATAATGGCGTCACACAACCAAAAGTAATATTGTTTGTAGGTGTTTGGAGAACCATGTTATCGTTAAATGTATGGCCACAGGGATGTGATTTTGAGAAACATATAAGGGTGATGAAGGGGGGGGGGGGGCAGGATGATAAAATAGCTGAGTGTGCCTCCGAAATGCAACTTAAACATTTTTCTCCCCAGATTCGACGCACTTTTTCGGAGTTTGGAGCAGGGGTGTAGTTTTTCAAAATCAGTTCGGGGGGGCCGTGTCCTACGGAATGATAATAGCTGAAAAAGGATGACCAAAAATGGCAACTAAAAATAGGAAACTACATCTCTGGTAAAAAGACTCGATCCTCCAACCCCAAATGAATAGGAAATTACACGCCTTTAGCGCTACTTATGTTAAGCATGATCTGATAGTTTCCTTAGATTAGTCCAGACCATCAGTCAGTGCTTGATGGCCAGCGGATGATTCTAAAGTGCAAATGAAACCACCAAAACGAAAATGTTTGATCGATATGCCGCATTGCATTCCAGTTAGGTTTGTTTTTGTGGCTCATTTCATTTAGAATCATATTACAACGGTCTCTGAGAGATCTGGCTTCAGGTGACAGTTTACACTGTTCCAAGTTTCGTCGGTGACGGAAAAGACATCTTTTCACCCCTTATGCATAAAATCAGCTCATGCACTTCATTTCACGACCTGCATGCATGGATGCAGGAAGCTCTTGAAAAGTGCGGGAAGGGGCAACGCCACTTTTGAAGTTAATTCTTTCCATGATCAGCTTGTGCACTTCATTTCATGACCTGCATGCATGGATGTAAGAAGCTCTGGAAAGGTGCGGGAAGGGACAATGTCGCATTGAAGTTACTTCTTTCCCTGAATCGCCATATGATTAATTTTTGGCGGTCATGAAAGAGCCATAGCGTCCTGTGTCCAGCCCTGATCTCTCACCCATGACGGCATTGTCCTAAAAGAATGAGGGTCTCAAAATTTGCATCTTTAGCTTACTGGCTACTTTACACGCGCTCGGGTGGGGGTCAAATTGAACCTCCGAAGGTTTTTCCAGAATGACCCGAACGGCACAGTGCAGCCGCGCCAAGTTTTGCGTACCTGTAGACAATTAAATAGCAGATGTTTGGTATTAAACATTTAGATGTACCTTGTAAGATCATTGACCTACGGAAGGTCAAAGTCAGGCCATGGATTCTGCGGTCAATTTCCAGGGAATCTTTCAATCTGATGCAATAACGGAGTGCTGGATGAGGCCACAAATCTCTGAGATGCTTTCCTACGCAACGCAACAATTGAATATGCAAGTTCCATTGATCTAAGGTCAGTTTTGAAGGTCAGATCAAGGGCAAAGCCAACCTGTTTTATTTCTATCGGGCTTGCTGTAAGATGTAGTTTCTGGTACTCATTCGGAATTTATTGATCACAGAAACCGCATTATACATCTTCCATGCAGTTCGCGAAATTCATAACAGACCACTGACCTAAAATGACGCGGGTCAGCATTTTTTTTTTTTTGGAACAAACTGCCTAGCGTAATCTTTGCCGCTTATTCAAATACAAAACTTAAGGCGGTCTTGTATGACTTTAAACAACGTGCCCTTCGAGAGGACAAACAAGGTCACTTATCTTAAATGATCATGCGACCTTTTGCTTAGAACAGGTATCTAGGCTCTGGGGGCACTTTGGAGACCAGTCTGGAGATTGACCTCGTTTGACCTTATCTGACCAGAAAGTCATGACCTAAGAACCTCAAACTTTTATCTAAGTGGGCTCAAGTACAGGCCAACACATCCTGTAACTTTGGTGTCTCTAGCTCTTTTAGTTCTTGAGATCTACTACTATTATGCGAAGGTAGTTTTATACAATGCTATAAGAATCCCCGAAAGTTAACCTAAATTCCCAGAGCACGTCATTCGATGTGGTGCACAGTTAGTCAACAAAATGTGGTGTAACCACTGCCGACACACGATAACTATGGCTCATTTTTCAATGGGTAAATTCGGCTTAGTGGCCAAACATATTTTCTAAATCCATAAGGCCCTTGCAAGCGTTGCTCACATGAGCTTACTGTTATGGTTTTCTGCACAAGTTGTCACGGGACTTCACTGCATCAGGAGTACTGACTGAACGAAGATATCAATCATTAAAATACATGATGCAAAAAGTCAAGCGCTTCCCGCAGCACGCACAGCCACGAACTTGATATTTTGTTGATCTCACGAGCTCACTAAAAACCTGGAGTTTAACACTTTCTTGCTTACGTGAATTACCACATGCCTTTAACTAGTTACCTGAGGACGCTCTTGGTGGTGCTCCTGTCGGCCTGATACCAAATGGATGTATTTTTCTCCCAGGGACTGCAGCTGCAAATAAAATGTGTAATATTAGCACACGCTCAGGTGGGGGTGAGGTCAAACTGCACCCCCCGAAAGGTTTTTTCCGGAATGGTTTCCGAACAGCGCAGTGTGGCCGCGCCAAATTTTGCACAGCTGTACACAACGGAATAGCGAATGGTCTGGCATCAAACATTTAGATGCATCTTGTAAGGTCGCAGGTCTATGGCAGGTCAAAGTCAATCATGGTTCCAGCGAAGGCAGTTTCTAAGGAATCCGGTTTAATCTGATCCAACAACGGAGTGTTAGACGAAGCAATGTATCTCTGAGACACTTTCTTAGGCAACACATCAATTGAATGAGCAAATAGCATTGACCTGAGATCAGGTATAAAGGTCAGACCAAGGTCAAAACCACCTTGTTTTATTACTCTAGGGCTTGCTGTATTGGGTAGTTCCTGGTGTCCATTTTGAATCTATTAATGACAGAAACCGCATTATGCAACTTCCATAGACTTCTTTAAGGTCAGAACAGGTCACCGAACTAGAAGCACCCAGGTCACCATTTTGTTGTCAGAAACATACTGTCTAGTGTAATCTTTGTCGCTTATCCAATTGCAGAACTCAAAGCAGTCTCGTATGATTTTGATCACCATGGCTTACAAAGGGTCAGACAAGGTCACTGACCTTAGATGAGCATGCAACCTTTTGCTTAAAACGGTTATCTAGGTTCTAGGGGACATTTTTCGACCAACCTGGAACTTGACCTTGTTTAACCTTATCTGGCCGAAATGTCACGACCTAGGAACCTCAAACTTTGATCTAGGCGAGTGCACGTACAGGTCGATACACCCTGTGAATTTGGTGCCCCTAGCTTTCTTATTTCCTGAGATCTCCGGGGGTCAAATTGACCCCCATCCGGGCAAAAGGTATCCAACCGGCCAGCCAGGGGCGTGTTAATGTAGATGGCAATCACCGCTTCAGCCGAGCTTAGGTCAGCACATTCTCAAACAGCCTGGCTGTACGCCTATGTTGCACTGAGCGACTGAGCGACTGAGCGACCCGAGAGCATCTGAACGCTACTGCATAAACTGGGACAGCAAAAGAGCATTGGATATCTCTTACAACAGGGAAACCTCTTAGTCTCATATCCACAGGACCACTACAGCTGTGAGCATTGTTGTCGTCTAGAAAATTAATATCTTGGCTGGGTGGCCGTCCGCACTTTTGGCCAGTAAAGCTGTCTTCCATACTGTGGAGTGTGCAAAGGTCAAGAAGTGTCCCCGCATGCATGTTCGCTTGGTAGAATTTTGTCTTGTACAGTTTCTAAGGAACGGAGTTCAAAGCCACAAGCGTTTCACATTCCATTCCATGTGAGCCGACTTGGCAGCCTGCATGTAATGCTAACTGCTCTAACTCGTGTATGGACAAAATCAAGGACCACTACAAACCTTGCAGAGATGACAATGTGAGCATTGAGATCAGCGAAGGAATGCATCATGTCAAGGGTACTGCAAACTCACTCGGCAGTGTGAGTGTGTCGTGCTGTTCCACGCAATGTGGCAGCCCCGGGCAACTTTTATCTGGGTGGCTCCTTCCAACAATGCATAGTTGTTTTACAGTCGGGCTCTCCACTCCAATTGGTGGACCAAATCTGCAGCGTGGCATGCCACTTCACCACGTCCTTGTACGGCTAGTGAGAATGTAACGCGGATGTAAGCGGCCCGCCGTTGATGTCCGCGGAGTGCGTACCATGCGAATGACCAGAGGCGTCCTCGAAGTGGTGGCCAGTGTGCTCTGAGCCGGCGGGCGTTCGAGGCGCCACCTGTGCGCCGTTGAAGAGCAGCTGACCGCGACTGGCCAGAGCTTGCCTCTCGTCCGCGTTGAGGTTCCGCTGCAACAGCCCCTCGTCCGGCTGACGTCTGGCGTAGCCGTTCAGAGCCGTCACCGACTCGCATTCGGCGCCCACCTGGTCGTGTCCACCTGATGACAACGGTCGTCGCGTGTCATTGAAAATCGACCAGGCGTATTGTCTCTTGCGAGCGGAAACGTCGCTCATGCCATTGCAAGATGGAACAGAACGCGAGTCTCAATGAAATTTGAGCTCATGTTTGTGACCAAGAAGCTTTCTTCGAAAGTTGTTATCTAATAATATACCCATGCCACGCACCCGGACAAAAATTATTCCAGCAGACACATCATCATCCAATGCCAGCGGAGAGAACGGTGATAGCATGGTTACCATATCGAGACAGCTACGGCCGTTCAACCATCGTTCGCTCCCAGAGAGAACGGTGGAAGCACGCCTGCCATAATATACTATAGTCAAGTTGTTGCATCATCGTATCACTGTTCTGTGATATGCACGCTGGCATACGCAACTGGTGGGAACAAGGATCCAAATGAGGGGGGGGGGGGGGGGCTGGCTGACAGTACGAGCAAAAAGCTCAAACAGAAGGTTCAGCTCCAACATAAAGTGCGCGTAAGTTCCTGTTCCACGCCCACATATATGCAAAGATGAAGAATCCATCCAAGAGAGTGTAACGAAGGATTGAATGTCCACAGTGGATTGAAACGAAGGCTCAGTGGTTAAGAGTGAGCGGCGACAAATTAAAAGTGTGGCACTGGGTCACCAGCATAGTCACCTTCGCTTACGATGCGGTTTTTCTGTATAAATAGCCCAACAAAAGAAAAGGCGGCTTAAACAGAGCTCTCATCGCGTGAAACGTCCCGTGGCAGGTGTGCCACGCAGCCTCTTCAACCGCTGAGCAGTCACGTTTTCTGCCTCAAAAGCCGCAAGTAAAAGAGCTACCAAGCGGACAGAGAGCATTCAGCGCTTCCGGGAGCCTGGGAACATTCAACGCCCGGGAATGCCTCCGGGAGCCTGGGAGCATTTAGTGCTTTTGGGAACACTTCCGGGAGCCTGAGAGCATTCAGCGCTTGGGAACACTTCCGGGGGCCTGAGAGCATTCAGCGCTTTTGGGAACACCTCCGGGGGCCTGAGAGCATTTAGCGCTTGGGAGCGCCTCTGGGAGCTCGAGAGCGTCCAGCGCTTGAGAGCGCCTCCGGGAGCTCGAGAGCATTAAGCGCTTTTCAGCTGCAAGAGTGGTGGCCGGGCGACTTACAGCCGTCGAAGCGGGCGACGTGAGTCTTGACGTTCTGCAGGGCTGAGTCCACCTCCTTCAAGATATCCGACATGTCGGAGTCAGCCGGGCCGGCGGCGGCCAGGCAGTGCCGACAGCAGCACGCCTGCCGCAGTCGGCAGGCCGACACACGCACCGTCAGCAAAGTGATCTGCAGGGCTCCGGTCAGTAGTCAGCGGCGCGGGAACACAGCGGCCTGAGCAGGGAACACAACGGCGGACGGACCGGCGACTTTCGCGGAGGTTACGTGGCATGCCATCACGCGCGCCTTGCGTGAACGTGAGAGCGGTGCATTTGGACTGGTGGCGACTTACAGGCTGCTGCCGTCCACGCACGCTGTAACGCCCTGCTCATCCTGGCGCAGCTTTGGCGTCCGGGGTCGCGCCCTGCGAAGGCAAAGTCTTAGCGTCAGAAATTGCCAGTAGGCCAAAGGGCAGGCTGGGGGACGGGGCCACCAAAAATTCCCACTTCACTCCTCCACAGCGAGGAAAACATTGTGATTTGAAACAGCCGCTTGTAGCGCCAAGAAACGCCTTGTATAGAGTGAATACCTGGCCTGCTATGCCTGTTTTTGCTTCGAAACCCAATCCACAACACTATGGCTATGGCCACAGCGTAGAACGGGCGACACTATGGCTTATATCAGACTCCCATAGTATCGATGATAAGGCCAAAACTCTGCTGAAACATTACACTGTAAAGAGCGAACAGCTGACAAAGCCAGCAGATCCCATGCCGTTCCATCTGGAGAAGATGTCCCAGGACCCTTTGTGTATAACTAAACGTGTTGCTGTGAACACAAGCGCTTAAAAACAGATGACGCAGGTGCAAACAACAAAAACGGCGGGCTTTCCATTGCAGTTCAATGCGCGAAAGATGCTTCGCAAAGGTCGGAGCTCGCACAGGCTGGGTCTTTGATTTTAAGTATCAAATACTATTCAGGCTTTTATGTGGGTCTAGCTAAAAAGTTCCCTCTACGGCTTATTTGGTTTGTTGCAGGCCTGGCCTATCGAAACACATCGTCACTTGTGTACAAAACTGCGGCGTTGCCTGCGACCTTACATAAAAACATCGTGTGCGACCAGAGTGCACGATGGCCGCTATAAAAATGGCCATCAACGACAGCAGGTTTTTCGCCTTCGCCAGACAAGGGTTTCACAGCCCCTCTCTTATCCCGCCCTGATATATCGAAATTTGAGCATGCTGTAGTCCAGGAGAAAGCGTGTGGGTTAAATCCGCAGCTGATTTGTTCCATTGCACATCAATGTGGGTTTGCCTTCTGTCGGGCAATCGAGAATCAAAGAAAAACGTCGGTGAATTTGGGGCTCAATCTATTTGCGCAATTACATTGGGGCTGTTATATTGGAAAAACGCCTTACATAGCCCTTAGCACACTGAATGATAACCGAATAGCAGGCCATCAGCGGAGAGTACCAATCACAAACGATGAATGCGCACACTACATGTTTGTGCATTTATCGCCTGTCCTGTCATGCATAAAATGATAAATAACCACAAATCGGGCTGTGAATTGTGGTATGGCATATTCACTAGGGAACAAACATACGCTGTGTTTGCTCGATGCGCTCACTGGAGGCGTCAAGAAAGTGTAGCACATTCAGTGTTAGCGTTTGTCTCATACTACACGCATTGTCATAAATCCAGTCAACACCTTAAGATTGAAAGAACGGGGACTCGTGTCGACACGTTTTTGCATCGGCGTGAGCCGTCTTTCACGCATGGTCGCCGGCTTGGGACCATTTTAGAAATTGGCCTCAGATCTCAACAACCATTGAGACAAAGAATTGCAACTAATAACTGGAGTGGATCGATTCGAAAATAAGCAGCTACGCGGGGTTACCATCACTTCATGGAATTTCGGGTGTTTTTGAAGCCACACGAAAGTGACGAAGCATCGAAAGCTGGTTGTTGATCACTCGCTGAACTCTGTTCCAGTGGAGAAGGGATGCAAATTACGCCCCCCCCCCCGTGTTAAGTATTGCTTGCTTCTGACCGCTCGTCGCAGCGGCACAATATTTTTCATCTAGCCATGCAGACAATGCGTGTTGCGACCAATTCTTTAAGAGCCAACTCAACGGTACACTCACCTAACCTCAAAATGCAGAAATACATTGGCGCTGTAAAGAGGTCATTAATGACTAAACCTCCGCAGCGTGCGAATAGGCCAGCCCGAAACATGTGACACGAGTCTGAGAGCGTGTCTTATGTATCCAAGCCAACAGCGACCCACGTGGCGCCGGCTGCTCACGTCAGTTGCCAGTACTATGTTCGGCCTCCATCCTGCCAGAGACGTCACTGCCGCCGCCGAGCCCGTGTCACCGAGGCGTCACCCGCCCGCGGTCCGCTCTGTTCCGACATCCCTTGCAGGCACGCGCCTCTCCTCAGCGTGATGACCCGGCTCGAGGTGGCCGTCGGTAGCGCACCTGCGCTCCTCTTCATTCCTCTGGTGGTGGTCGAGTATGCCAGGACTCTGCGCTCTGATCCAATGGCCATGCTCGTGGCAAACCTGGCGATCGCCAACTTTCTGCTCGGGATGTGCTTGGCTGCACTGGGCGTTGCAGGCCTTGTCTTCGAGAAGCCTATGCCGCTTCCGCTGTGCCTGTCGCTGCACGTTATCGCCTTCAAGACGGCGCAGCTTCCTGTGGCTGTTGACCAGTTCGTCGCCATCGTCCACCCGCTGCACTACCGTGCGATCACGGCACGCTGGCGCAAGCGGCTCCTCGTCACGCCATCGGTCGCCTACCTGCTGCCAGTCCTCCTGGGGACGTTGTTCTCTTGGCTTGACTTGGAGGCGGTGTACCAGTTCGGCCAGCGTATGGCCAACCGCACCCAGGCCTCCGACGAGTGTCGATGGGAAAGACTGGCTAGCGCGCTGGTGTTTACCGGCGAGGCAGCGGTGCTGGCGACCTCCGTCGCCACGGGAGTGCTGTTCGTCTCCATCGGAGTTATTGGAGTTTGCCACCGGAGGCAGAGAATAGGGGGGGGGGGGGGGACCGCGAGTTGCAGGCGACGACTGCTTTCTCGCCCGCTTTAAGTTCTTAAGCCGGATCTCGAAGATGTCCAGCCTCTTCATGGCTCAAAATATCGTCGGACGTTTGTCAGGATATTTATCATGTGGTGCCATCTTCCAAATCTGTCATCCTTTCTCCTTTTGACCCGTTGCCTACTCATCGTGATTGAGGCGTGGACTCGCGGGATGAACAACGTATCTATTTTGATGCTGACGAGGTATTTTTTTCGTTGTGGCATCAAGTCACCGGAGTCATGGGTGGGCTACGGACTGTTGCAACAAAACAGGCGTGCTGTGTCAAATCGTCGTTTAAGAATGAGATTGTTCAGCCAATATTGAAGCAAGGCCCAGCAGAATTTTCTCGGTGACCGATTTAGTGCCGATTGTCTTTTTCTAAATGGCTGCCTGAAATACTTTGTTCATTTTTTGCAGACATTCAGGCACCAATAGCCTGCACTTGTCTTACCGGTTTTATAATGTTGCATAACACTTGTTAGAATAAAGGTAGCCGTCTACTGTGCGTTAAATGCTGCCGACCCCGCAGTGAAATACTTATTTAGACCCACCGCTTCCACATGTCTGGATGATAGTTATCATCCACAACGGCGCAGAGGCCATTGTGCAGTTCAGAAATTCATTCTCATGGGTTTGCAGTAGTCTGGTTTGATTGTCATTGTCCAAGTCAGCAATGCCACGAATTACATGTAGATATGGCAGGTAATCGCCGCCGACTGTCACGCAAGCAAACAACAAGCTTTGAAAAACACATTATCACTAGCCAGATTTACCAAAACAGACTGCCAGCCTTCCTATCGTCACATGGATTGCCTTAATGGTTGATTCTAAAAAAGACGGAAGATATCTTCTACTAAGCTTTGTTTGACAACTGTTGATAATGGTAAAATATTTTGAATTCGAGGGGAAAACATTCCAAACAAATATTCCTAATAGAATTGGCCTGATGATTTTAGAATGGAGTCTATATGTAATGTTCATGATCAGTTCAAGCGTCAAAGGTTTGATCGTGATCTGAGAGCGGCTGGCTTTTTGTTTCCTTATCACCTATCCAGGTTATAGACTATTCAATTATTTGCATTGCCTGCAGCAAACAGGTGAGATACTGCATAGCGTCAATATTTTGTGGTGAAATTTTCGATATGAGATCAGGTAACTAATCAGAATGTAATCGGTAGAAGCCTGAGTGGGTATCTGGTGCTACGTGGCATAACACACCGCTGTCCTTCTGGTTTTTGATTAATTCGAAGTATTCAACGACTGGTGCAACTGTCTGCTAACCACGGTGGGTTAATACAAGGCCACGTCAGGTCATCATCGCGGGTCATGCAAGGTGTGCTCATACCACGTGTGAGTAAAAAGCCAGTAGAACTGGCACACATTCATACAAGCCACGTCCGAAGGCGTAACTTGACCTTGACTTCGCATGTCCTTGGCCTGATATGACCTTAAGCTCATGTGGTCATGGCGTGATTTTAAAGCGCAGTATTACGCGCTTTCCTTTAGTGTTAGTGGCACGGTCACACGACTATTACAAAGATAAATTGATGGCCTAGAAGTGAATTGACCAAGTACAGCATATCAAATACACGATTCATACCTAGATAGAGATATGCGAAATTGGAAGTGTAAAGGATTTAAAAGTCGAATACAATACAATGCTCTGTAGCAAATACTTAAGTGTGCAGGGGCGTAGTTCCTCTTCCCCCGCTTCCCCGGGTTCGTGCAACAATGCTCAGAGCCATCACGCTAAGGAAAATGTGTCTGCAGATAAGAAGCCATGCACGACGTCACATCAACGATGTCTGTTATACAAATGTACATCCTGAGAATCGCGGGTCCGCCGACACGCTCCTCGGGGTCGCCATAAGTTTGGTGCTTTTTACAGTCAGGAAGAAGATGAAAGTTTGCGCAGGTAGAGGGACAATATGTCATCATACGAAACACGGCAACGGACGAACCCGCATAACTAACAAACACAGCCACAGCAGCCAAAAGCTGCAGCGCGTGTAACTGCGGCGGCGGTCGCCAACCTCTCCACGCCTGCCGCCGTGTCGCTGACGAAGTCCAGACGGAAATTAGCCGGATTACACCACACAACATGGAGCATGGAGCCGACTGTGCTTGTAGCTGAATAAATGCGTATACAAAGGCCCGGTTAAGCTGAGAAGTCGGGAAACAAGAGCAAGAAAACTCATCTGTCTGAAATGTGGGTGGTGACTTTTCAAAATGATGGGGAAGGGGCCATAGTCGTACCCGAAGCGAAAAGGGTCAGGTACAAAACAAGTCGTGGATTTCGTCCTTTCACGTTCAGGCTGTCTTGAGCCACAAAAATAGGTCTTCTTGTTGTTATGTTTCTGGTAAGCACTGTTGCTTGCGCACCACAGTAAAATCAGCGTTTAAAAAAGCGCTGAGGGTCATATGAACTTATTTGTCCTTTGTTGGAGGTTCCGTATGATACGTTTGTCGTTTCCTGTGTGTCGATGCAGAATATTACCGGAGTTTATCTATCGTTAAATATTTAGATCAGTGAACACAGAAGGCATACATAAAAGTTTGATTTTCATCGTACTCTTGCAAATCACACGATTGGGGCATTAAACAAAAAACGTTTGAATGCTGTATGATCTAATTCAAAGCACACTTGTGCACGGTTAAAAGCTTTTACATTTTTTCCATATCAAGTTGAAACATAACCACGTAAATCATTCATAAACACGTCAGAACTAGATTGCTCACCAAAACACCTCCGACTTGGCAGATATTTGCCCCACAACTATTTTCTTATCACGCGATGACCATAACCACTATTCTGCCTAAATAAAACACCACTTGATAAAAGATGCAAGGTTGGCTAAAATAAGTGGAATACATCTATTGAGTAGCACATTTGTGGGATGTAGGTCCTCGGCACTCCAGGTCGACCACCCACTCACTCGCCCTTTCGATCATTCACCAAACTGACGCATCTGCCAGTCAGTGCTGACAGTGCGATCGTGTTGTGTGGGTGGCTGCCTACGGGCGAATATCAGCGGAATATCGCGGGTCCCCGCGTCATTAGCGTCATCAACGTCTGGTCTCATTAACTCCTGGCCTCAGACAGGCAGGTGGATAACATGGATCCGCCTGGGTGCTGGTACCACGTAAGCCATAAGCCATAAAATAATAATATTTGCATATTTTAGTTACACATAAGTATGCCATACATAGTGTTATGTATATAATAATAATTATATATATATATATATATATATATATATATATATATATATATAGTATAATCAAACCTAAACAATAAAAAGCCATAAAAGGCTTTGGCTATTCCGTTACTGTATGCCGCTAGACATGGTGGCGCCCTGCAGGACCTGAAAGAAGAGTACCTCAGAAAGCGGAATAACATCAGTAGCTCATTCGAATTATCACTGTTTCCTTTCCCTAAAAGGGAAAGGAAACACTCGAGCGGGCAGTGTGTACAGGGGAGAGGAGGGAGTTAACATCAATGTACCATAAATACCGCGAAGGCTCAGACAGTCCAAAGAAAAGAAATCAAAAGACAAAAGGTCATGGAGATAGGCAAAACTGGAATCCGTAGAAATCCAAAATCACAAAAAAATGAAAAGATTAAAATACTAATCGAAAAGCCGAACAACCAAAAATGCAAAAGTGAAGAGCAAATGAATAAAGTAAAAAGGTCGCATTCAAAAACGACCAAGAGGCAGATGAATAAAGAGGTCAAAGGATAAAAGTCACATGAAAAAGCCTGTTAAGTAAAAAGTCAAACGCAGTAGAAGTCAAATGAATGAACGAAACTGAAACGGACAGAAATCCAAAGGAGCAAACATCAAGAGAATAAGGTTGCAACACGAATGTATGGAAAGTGTTGAAGCATAGATTTTAATTATTTCGGCAAAGAGCTCCCAATGCTCTTGATTACCCCATGCACACCTACGTACTGACCTGTTCGATGTTCCGATTGCTGTGGAACACATTTGCGACTTTTTGTAAGAGAAAGTCACTCTGCGGACGTGAAACAAAACTACGAGCCATAATTTAGCATGTTTTTCCTCCTGACCGTCCAATCAGGTGAGCGGGCGGCCGGATGGACGTCCAAGGACGGCGCCCAGATCGTGCGCGACTCGACTCGCCTGCAGCGGTCGGCGGCCGGTCAGCCGCCGTCGCCGCCCTCTGCGGGCTGGGCCACTGACCTGTCGGACGCGGCGGGGCGGCGGCACGGACTGTTGCGCAGGCCGGCCAAGCAGCGCCGCAGCGGACGTCGCGCCGAGTGGCGAGCTTGGCCCGGGCGGCCAGCGCGGACGCGGCGTGGGTGGCCCGGTCGCCGGCTGCAGGCCACGCGGAAGGTCGGGGGTCGGGCGCGTCAACTGTCGCCACGCGTGCGGCCCGCTCCCGGACGCGGCGCGCCGCCAATGTCGCCGACGCGCCGCGTCCGCCATCGCCGACCGGCGGCGGGTGGACGACCGTCCTCTGCGACGGCAGGCGGTCGACGGCCGAGCGGGCAGCGCGCCGGCGGGGCGAGAGCGCGCCTCTCCATCACGGTGGTTGTGTTTGACGTGGGTGTTACCCCAGGACACGTCTATAGCACCAAAGCGTGCCTCGAGCTTGGCAGTTGTAGAAATTATGAGCATGTCGAACGGCCGCCTATAAATTAGTCATACCTCAACCCTTTCACCCTTTGGTCCCGCACCGGCTGCGCTGGGTGCGCCTTCATCATACTCAAAGACCACACCTGATCGTAACGTTACACCTTCGTTTCGTTAGGCAACCCTTCCCCTTATAACACTTTAACTTAAATTCCACCAAAACTGCCACTCCCCTTGGGCGACCTCCGAAGTCGAGGACAAATTCAATCATTTTTGTGCTTACCTTAACTGCACGGCATCTTCTTACTGTGGTCAGACGACAGGCCTCATAGGCTGTTATTTCAAACAAATAAACCAAATATGGAGTCAAGCAGAAGGTGGCACCAAGCAGTTCGCCGAAAACTGCATCAGCTTATCGGTCATTTCAAGAACACTGTGGGTGACCTTTGATAGGCTAGATCAGGCACAGAGAGTAGCATCAGTGCATTTGTGCGGCATTTTTTTTAAAGAATCTATCGGTGCTAAAATAACGAGAAAGGCATATTGCAGGCCGCAGGCCTTGCCATGTTTCATGGCAAGCCAAAGTGGTCCTTGAGTCGAAGCAGACTGGAACAGGTCAAACTAGGGCATCAGAAAGAAGCCTAATGTGCATGGAGCCCATCCCGTTATGGCAATGCCTAAGCAAGCAAGTGACAAAGACGTTGGCTTCAGTGATGCCCGACCGCTTGATCGGGAAAGCGATGGTTGAGAAGAGGGAGTTCAAGTGCTCAAAGCAAGTGTCTGGGGATGAACGCCCGCAGGTCCAGCACCTGGAACACGTCTATGCACCGCACACATAATGCTGGCAGATGACTACCATACTTAAATTGCGAGGTGTGGAAGCATACTTTTAAAAATGCCAGCTAATGGAAAGGACACCCGATAGCATTCCCACCTTGGACTATTTCTGTTTCTGCTGGCCTGATCGTTGGCGTAAGATCGCATAATTTTAAATAATATGGCGTAGAAATCGCATTTGAACAGCTCTCCGTTCTACTCATGGGTGCTCACTCCGCACACACCATTCAGCGTTGTCTTCCCAGTGTCGTGTGTTTGCTGATAATGACGGTGACCGATTCCCACTGCGCGCTCCATTCTGTCCGGGCCGGGTAAGGTCTCGTACATCCCATCGCCAGAGATATGGTTATGTCTGTGTGCAGCAGCGCTGCCTAATCACGCCCATCTGTCGTAGTGACCTTGGACACATTCAGTTTATGACTTCTTAACAAAAGAGCAAAAGTTGCAAACGATTAACAACAGCGGGAGAACAAACTGTAAAACTAACAGTTTATTACATTCTGCATTCACCTGCCAAGTGGTGTGCATGGAATGATAAATCTGACAAGTTGAGATAAAGGCCACAGCGTAAACGATGCGGTGCCCAGAAGTCAGAACCGAACAAACGGGTGGTCTAATCCTTATAAATACAACTTACCGCCCGTCGTGCCATGTTGTGAGCACCGCGCCATTACATTAGATATCAGCGAACACGTTTACCGTAGCAAACCGATCTGAAACACTTCATACTGCGAAATCATATGTAAAATTGCTGTACCACAATTGAACTGTGAAATCTTCAGGCTATGGCAACGCTCATATGAAGCTTGGCACTGCCCAAACAATATTAAAACGACGGCGGTGGCCCGCAAGACCTGAACTATGCACCGGTTGATCGAATGCGCCAAGTGTGACGGGCATGACCTTGGCAAAGAGGCAACGGTCTCTTTTCAATTACTTATGTCACAACATTCAGCATTCAGTATCACGTGAATACAGTACTCAGTACACTGTATTCGTGACCTAAGGTGTTCAGTGCATTAGCGAGGAACATTATTCACATAGACGAGACAGCAGTATTAGCCTCATTCCTCGGATAAAAACCAGGAGAATGGAGATATAGCTGGGTTCATATTTAGGCAGCGTGGCTTTATCGAAACAATAGCAGAAGTGAATTCAAAATTGTCTGCCGATGATCCCACTCGATTTTCAGGTTGCTTTTTTTAAAGCAAGCCATAGATTTTACAGGACACTAACATTCAGCGCATTGAATAAAGAGCGATTGCCAGCCATTACCACGATATACTGCCTATCTAGGAATTAGAGTGCGGGAGCTTACCTGTACATGCAAACGAATCCAAGCAAATAAGCATCACGCATCACGCTTCCCTCAGTCATGCAAGCGAGTTAAAGTAAACACACATCGCGCATCAATTATGCATGCAAACAATTTCAGTTGAACAGGCATCACACATCACGCGTCAGGCATCACTTACACATGTAAACGATTTTAAGCTAGCACACACACGACACGTAAAGGCACATATCACCTTTGCACAATCGGCCATGATTAACTCTGTATGTTAAGATTTGGTCGCCGACTTTTTATAAGAATCGATTCAATTATTTTCCTGTCTGGGTGGTCCTGTGCTCTGTAGATGACTTTGAACTCTAAAAGGGGCATGGGGTTCATACTTCCCTTGATTTCAGCCAGAGCATGTTCTGTCCAAAAATGGTCACCGAAAGGGTTATTCCCTGTTTTGTTTTTAGCGTCTCTCGTATGTTAATTGTGCCTTAAAAGAATAGGTGTAAAATAATTTAGGTGATAAAATAGGTGAAAAGTGTAAGCTGTGTGTAAAAGATGGGAGGGACGTAGTCCATCTCGGGGAGTCCATGCGCCCTATTCGTTTAAGATATAGTGTCCATCCCTGAAATTCGGGGTAATTGGTCGTCGAAAGCTCTAACATCCTCATGCCATCAATGTGGAGACTATACTGTATCAGCGTGATCGTTTTGTGTCGATCGTTTTAAATGTTTCGAGACCCTCCACGGCCCTGGACCGCTTCGACGAACTTTGATCTCCTCGTTCGAGGCTCCTTTATCGTTTCCCGCTTCCTTGCGCCTATGGCAGTTTGGACCACTCTGGCATTCCCTAGCCGCCTTGGTTCCACTTTCCTATCGCGGCCCCTTGACCTTTTCCAGATTTTTAATAATCCCAGGGCTGCTTCACCGTCTAGGGGCTCTTTGGTCTCTGGTCTCTTCGGCGTTTACAGCAGGATGTGCGTCCTGGTAATACTGCATACTCTGCTGACTTTCATAGTGTTGAAAACTCATCACCGTTCGAATTTTTTTCGGGCTAGCGATGGCACCGCAATTCGTTTAGTGCGCTGAAGTCTCTCGATCGTTTCTGTCTCTGACTAAGTCGCTGCTTGCTTGTGTCGGAGCCGCTTGACTATACCTTGGCCCGGCCGCCTCAGATTCCAAGGGGCTTAATTATGGCAGTCTGGTACTTGGATGATTTTTTTTAAAAAAATTGATGCGAACCCTTCGAATGGATGGATTTATGGTATCAGCGCTCACGCTAAGCAGTACTTGTTGAGTGAGCCCTGACCCCCACCATCCTGTCGCGCAATTCCAGGCAACGGCAGAATTCAGTGGCGAAAGCTTAACGTGCCGCAGTGCTCGGCAGCGGTCCGTCCTGCCCTCTGACGTCAACTGACCTATAGCGCGACCGCTGCCATCGGCCGCAGGCCATACACGTCAAGGGCAACTAGCAGGCGCCCTAAAGCGACTCGAACCCACCCAGCCACGGGTGGGTGGATTGGAAAGCAGGCGCTCTAACCAACTGAGCCACCCGGACGGGGATAGGTGAACATGCTGGTCTTGACCTGAGGTGGACAACGCTTCTGATTTACCGGATAAATCCGATTTACCGGCACGACGCTTTAAAACGCTGCGTGGCAAGCTGTTTAGTTTCGACATGTGTAGAACACATGTCGAAACGTTGACGTTCCGTTGCACGAGCAAGTTAAGCCATAAGATGTTGCCAGACATAGGAGCTTTAATCAGGATAGTTTTTAGTAGGTGCCAGAAATATACTTCAAACTGTACTTATCAGTGCTGACGTTCCATGATGCATTCCCGATACATTTAGTGGTAGCACAGTGCTCTTCTAATGTCCCTCAGATCAGTATTTTTCACACATTTTTCAGTCAAGGTTCACTTTACATACTTGACAGGGTAAAATACCGAATAAGCAGACTTCATACTGGTCGTAAGAGTCATGGCTGACCGAAGGCTATCTAACGGGTTGGCCACAGCGTCTTGCAACGAGCGTGATCAGTTTTCTATTCAACGTTTTAAAGTGTCGTGCCATTTGAGACAGATGGCTTGAATGCTGGGCGCTCGGAAATGCGCCCTTGGGTTCAGTGCAGGGCTGTGGGGCGCTGTTGGTTGTGTTCATGTCTTGAGAACCTGACTGACTAGAAAGACGTAGCTAATCGTCAGCTTTTAAGGTAGTAGCGTTAAAAAGCTCTGCCGATCTAGGACTGTGGTTCGTGGATACATGAGCTGTAGTATGAGAGGTAAACGGAGGTCATTGGAGCGACACATGTTAAGGATTCATCCAGGGCTTCCTACTCCTGAGAGGAAAAGCGGTTTTGAGGTAAGAGGTTTAGCATCTCTGTTGTAGGCCTTTCACATTACCCGTTGCACCTCGGACATAGCGCGCTGATCGGCGGACAGGCATGACATAAAACGCTTTTAG